TTTATCACGAAGATCGAGCGGAGTCTCGAGCGTGCGGAGCGAGAAGCAGAGGATAGAGGGATCCCGTTGAACAGGACTACGGCCGCTGATCCGGCGGTGTTGGGTCTGGAGCATGAGCTTGGGCAGGATGGGCCGGACGCCGAGGCGGGGAGGAAGAGGAAGAGGCCTGAACAAGGGGGCTTTGTGAAGGGTGAAGCTGCGTTTCTGCGCGGGGCGCAGAATGCCGGGGTGAGCGTTATCAGGGCGCCGAGGGGGATGAGTAGGAATAAGGCGAATGCGTCAAAGTGGAACCCTAAGTATGTCTCTTTTCTGGGTGGTGGTGTTGGTGATGATGTTGATGATGTCGGTGTACTGACGGTCTCCAGACATAAATGTTTGAGTTGGACGGTTGAATGGATTACTGCGGATGGCAAGAAGGTGACGAGGAACTGCTTGGAATCGTGCACTCTGGCGGATGCATACGACCGCATCTACCCGCAGCCTAAGGAGAGAGCAGGCGAAACTGTTCAAAAACCAGCGAAAGACGACCGAACATTTGAAAGTACAGGAGATCGAGGGCAGGAGCCAGAACCCGCGTCCAAGGAACAGCCAACACAAATAGCGACCGTTGAACCTCTTCCGGCAGCACCAACTGGTCAATCAGCCACAGAATCAACACCAGATCAACCGTCAGGTTCATCCGAAAGCAAGCACGAAATAATCCCCCATCGTGGCGTTAGCTTCTATCTTCATCGTCCACGAACTGCTACCAAGCAGCCAGTCCTCATCCCTCTATCCCCCAGCATGACTTTTACCACTGCTCTCCGAGACCGTGCCGTTCTAGAGTTTCCCACCATCTACGCTCTTCCCGAACCTCCGGAGGCATTACTCGCCGAAAAAGAAAATCCAAGGTTCCTTTTGGAGGAAGATTATGTACGCACGCAAGGGCCAGAAACGGATCTGAGCGAAGCCATGTTGCAAGAAGCTCCTGAAGATCAAGTCCACAGTGGCAGTCTGGATATAGGGGACATTGACGAGAAGAAAGTACTTGAAGTGTTGAAGCAGGATCTATGGGAACCGATCGCAGCTGATGCCGCAACACTATAATTGGACTCACACTTGCTTTATGTTGCTGGAAGAGCTTGGCGTTGGATGGACACATCATGTATATACGTCCCTGATATAATGTATACTGTCAGCTACATTCTCGCGAACTAGGCACAAGTGCCAGGGACACTCTCCCTTCCACTCGTGGTAAGACTAGTTGCTCTGGCGCAACGGTATACTGGTAACGTCGTGGCCGATTGAGGAATTACTCGACTCACGGCGCCGACAGAAATCGTTACATCGATTAGGGTGAGGACAGGATAAAATACGTGAAAGCGTCTCGATCCGCTCGGTATCGAGACTAGAGCATCATGGTTAATCAAAGCTTGCCAATATCAATTAACACAAAATATCAAGTGCGACCAATAACCTCGAGGTATCTAAGTGGTATGTACTCCGGTCCAAGAATAAATAAATGACAAATATAACAAATGGGTATCCTTGCAAAATATAACCATTCCAGGACGCCTTGCCAATGCTTGGTGGTTCTATCGAGATGATGCTAGACCGAGTTAAATGAGGTCCTGCTAGACTTTCCTGTCGATCAATAAGATGACAGAAACGTCATATGTGAAGTTGTAATATAAGTCATGATGACTGTTCGTCTTGAGTCCTGCTACCTCCCGTTCAGTTGTGGAGGGGGGCAGTCAGGATAGAAAGGGACTGCTTCTCTTCGATGGACGATGCCATAAAAGTCAAACTGTGGTAAGTGATTGCCGCGGTTCAGCGTACCCGATTGAAGAATGTGGTATAGTCACCCACACAAGCTAGACTTGCAGACAATCGGGCCTATACAAAGTATATAGCCCTGTGATCAATCCTGGATCAAGTCACGTGGTCTGACAGGGCAGAATATCCCGCCAGGCATTGCCATCAAGTCAATGGAGTCGTAGAATCGGAAGCTGTGTCTGGAAGATCATGTTCTTCATTCCTTGTAGAGGATGGGGACACAAGCTCGGTCGCGACGGTGTTCGCCACTGTGCGAACCTCATCTTCCTGAGCCGATTCCGGGGCCTTGTTTTGGAATGATCCTGCCTTGGATTCTGTAGGGGACATATTTAACCGCTCGGATCGGCTTGGTCTAAGCTTGAGACGTCCTTGCTCTAGAGCACGAAGAAGGGTACCGACTTCCTCAGACACAATGCCTCGAAGCTTGCTCATTGCGTCATCAGACACGTCCGAATGGACATTCCAGCCCAGTTTGTCTGACTCTTCCGAGATCAGCGACTTCGACTCCAGAGAGGGACCAGTGATCAGCCTGTGTAGAGTGGTGGGCGAGACGTTGTTTGGTCGGCGTGCCATCTTGACCGGTTTCTGCTTGGAACTTGAGGAGACTGAAGCCAAATCCTCCTGTTGGCGCTCCCGCTTCGGGGGGCGGGGAATATGCGCGGCATTCGGCCCTTCACCAACTTCATTTCGAATCTTGTAGTAGACCAGACCCAACGTTGCGGCGAGTGCTTGGTGTGCGGATTCAGGATATTGACGAACAGCCTCGGCGCGGGTCAGATTTGACGGGTATTCACTGGATTCACTAGAATCGCTGTCGCTGCCATACAAGTCCAATTGGTGCATGCGGCCCCAGTACTCAAAACCTCCCAGTTGATAGAATTCGGCGAGTTGTACAAGTCGATTAACTGTGGATCATGTTAGGTAACGGAAGACTCATCTCGAGTACAAATCACTCACTCCTACTGCGCTTCTTCAAGCACCAGAATCTCCAGACTGTACGAGGGAAGTATTCGGGCCACTGAAGAGAACCATCTTCTTCGATTACCGGGACAGGTGTGATAGGGGCATGCGTGGTGTGAGCAAGGGAGTTGAATCGAACCCGTTCTGAGTGCTTCATGCGAGCCTCAATTAGGGTAAACCGATTAAACACCGCGCTCAGGTGACGCGACGTCTCGTGTTGAAGAGTAATCAAATCGGTGCGTAGTTGACTGATCGCAGCATGCAGTTTGCTGATTTCAATGCGGCATCCACAAACATCAGTCTGCAGCTGTTCCAAGTCGGCCTGGACCTGATCAATATTCTTCTGGAGACGGTCGACATCACTCCGCAAAAAGACGGTCTCGTTGCTGGCCTGGCCGATGCTAGATTTGAGTTGAAACACGCCCGACTTGAGCTGGTCAACATCCGTCCTCAACGCAACCACGTTCAGATCAATTCGATTTGATATCGAGCGATTGGCTTCGAATTCTCGACGGATATGCTCGTCTTCACGGTTCCGTCGATCAACATAACCATCCTTGGTGAGAACTGTCGAGCGTAGCTCGAGTACTCGTGAATCTAGGAGGTTTAAACGGTCGTGGATTTGGGACAAAGAGGGCTCAGATAGAATCGGGGGCGTCACATCGTGTCTGACTGAAAGTAGAGGACTGGATATGGGTATTGACATGCTCGATGTACGGGAAAGACTTCGTTCAAGCGTGGCAGTCATGATGATAGAGAGGATGATGACGGTCGGTAGAGGGATTATAATGGATGACTGTGTAGAGATATGGCGTAAGTACGAATTCTGCGTCAATATTGTACCATCTGCATGTGCAGGTCGATTTATATGCGAAAAATATCCATTTTGACGATATTTTGATGATGGTAATGATGGTTGAGTCGTAGATGATGATGGATGATGATGTGATGGATGGACGGAAGGGCTGGGTGAGGAAGTTGGGCGACTCCCTTTTCTCGTTCCGGCTGACGCCCCCCTCCTTTCATTTTCTTCGATCGCTTGTTGCGTGGCACAAGCACATACGACAACTCCTCGCCAACACCGGATCGCCGGACAGCGACCATCAAGACTCGCCATCTCTAACAGTTGAATTTTGACTGCTGACAATTGATATCTTCTCTCAGATAATTCTATTCATATCTTTATCTAACTTGACAGTCAAGAATCGTTTATGAAGTTTCACAACCCTCCTCTATCCAGAATTCTATGCAGGAGGAGCGACGGACTTGAAATCGTTTGTAATTACAGAATTTATGACAATACCGTTTTCGGACAGCCTAACGCCTTGGCCCCTCCCTTGCGTCCAGCTGACTCCGTATAAGCCAATCATAACTGATGTGCCGCTGCCGCCTCACAGGTAAACGACCGTCAATTGGACAGCATAAATATCTGCTCGGCGTGTCTCTGCCCTATTGAGGAACAGTCTCGGTTATTACTGATACCAACACTACGCCTTATGCTAAGTACAAGCGTACAAGGAACTAGGTCAACTCAACAATGGCTGTGTATATGGTGCGATCGGGATTGATAACACATTCACTTCTCATAGAACATTGCTCATGACTCAAATTAGGATCATAATGGATGAGTCAACCCATATATGAACCGTTTCCATGTTGACCAGTTGGCATACTGACCAGAGTTGGCAGCTGGCGCTGTGGCTAGGTTTACTGTTTACGCTGGAGATGCTCAACATCAAGCATCATGGTAAACATGAATGCTAACGATGACACACTCTTGACACATGCAATGAATAAACATATGCCCTCATAAATTCACCGACCTCAATTGGGCTGGAATTGTGTGTGCAAACGTTCCCGGGTCCGAAAATGATTCCTGGGGGACACATTTTCCCATACAAAGTGGGCCAGTCAACCAAGTTCTCAATCAGAGTAACACAGAAGCACAACTTTGAAGGAAAATCCAAAGGTAGACGGTGGAATCTAATACTTGCTATGAATTCTCGTCAATTCTGAGATTGGGAGAGTAGGTAGTGTTGTTCGAAACAAGGAAGAGACGCGCCTGCCTCTCTTGATACATATACTTCAAAATGCTTCCTCGCGATTGCTCGAGCAGCAGGATGCGAGAAACCTACGCCTCTTCGTCGGTGTCAACCTAGGGAAGCTGTTATTGCTTTGGTTATCTATTATCCTCACGTTGACCTACACTTCGAACGTGTTCGAAAATGAAGTCGTCTGTTTTCTCCCTTCTACCCTTGCTCTTGACCACAACAGCCCTAGCTTATCCTGCCTCAAGTAACAGCAGTATCGCGTCTCCTAGACTGCCACTTGACTTCTACAAGCGTCAGTGTGACTGCTATGTTGTGTCCGGATCAGAAACGGTGTACTTTGAGAACTACGCCTTCTGGGACTTCCGAAAGATCCCTTTGCCTCGTTACGATAGCAATGGCAGCAAAGACCGCGCCAACAGGAGAAGGTATATCTTCAATGGAATTGACAACGACGAAGGCGATAACGAGGAAGAGAACGTCGATAATGAAGAGAACGTTGACGATGAAGGGAACGTTGACGATGAAGGGAACGTTGACGATGAAGAGAACACTGACGATGGTATGAAAGCAGTCGGCAAAGAATTTGACTTCGGTACTCTCCTCTTCTCACAGACTGCATTCGCAAGGGACTGGAAACCCCAGAAGTGGCACCGCAAAAGCAACAAATATGGACCTGTCCCTATCATTAACTCACCAGAAAATATATTCTTCGCGAGCAACACCCTATATACAAATGATTCCGAGTCAACCCACCTCGTGCTGCGAACGACACGGTTCCCTAACCACACGGCGACAGCTGAACTCGAACATCACCTTCGCAACATCTTCCACTGCTCCCTACGAGTCCGAATGCGTGTCATGACAGTCAGCTCTGTGAACAGAGAGCCAATGCTGTATGGCCGCCCAGTGCCGAAAGGAAACACTACAAAATTAATGGCAGCCGGAGGTGCCTGTGCGGGTATCTTCACCTATCGTTCATCGACCTGCGAGTCCGACATCGAGATCCTGACTTCAGATCCACCCAATATCGTTCGCTACGCTAATCAGCCCGACTACGACCCCACAACGGATGCCATGATTCCGGGGGCGGCCTCAGTCGGCACACTTTCCCAGCCATGGACGAACCCAACCACGCACCGCGTCGACTGGCTGCACAATATCACTAAATGGTACGCCGATGGTGAGATCAAAGCCTCCAATACCTATCATGTCCCAGATCAACCGAGCATGATGGCAATCAATCTCTGGAGTAATGGGGGTGAGTGGACAGGCGACATGCCCGTGGGACAGAGCGTGTATATAGGAATTGAGTGGATCGAGGTGGCCTACAACACGTCAACAAAGGTTAACGGCGCGCCGAGCGATACTGTACCCTTTCCGAGCCACAAACATAGGCCTTTTGCGCGGTCCGCAGCGGTAGGACCTGAAGCAGACCATGAGAGATTGGCAGAGGAAGTTGAGTTCATCCAAGGGAAGGAGGGGGCGAGGCAATGCTTGAGGCCATGCTTCTTAGACAATGTTCGCGGTCAGTGATGACCCTACCAATTACAATAGTCTTAATTCTTATGTAACATTCCTAATGTCTCTCGTCAGCCCTAAGACCCGCGGCGCCCTATACAAATCTACATTCGCGTAGGTGACTGCGTGTCTTAAAAACTCAAAGATTTCTGCCTGTCTACGTGAAACAGGAAGAATGCTTGACAATTGGTAAATTCATTTTCATACAGAACTATCCTGTACAGCAAACACAAACAAGTGGCCGCTGAGACGCTGAAGAACAAGCTCTCAGAAACCATAATGCATGCTCAAGTCAGGAGCCGAAGCTTCGACCGACGGGGTATCAGAAGCCGAAAAAGCACACATGCGCCATACCCCAAGAATCCTAAACGCCATGCTGGTATCTCCAAATCATACAGTACAGGCCATTCCATCGTTCCATCATCCTGTCCCAAGCGCCCCGAAACATGCAACGAATATTGGAGGGAGGCGGCCCGGCCGGTCCATGCCGGTCCGTAATCATACATCATGCACTGGAGTGCTTCTTCTCGTTTCTTCTTGCTCCCCCCAAAACGACAACGCCGAAACCCAAAGCAAAACGAAACACAAATACTCATACAGAAAGAAAAGAAAAGAAAAAAAGAAAAATTTTTGCTGCTTAGAGCAGCGGTTCTCCACCCCCACTTGTGGGATCGAAATCACCGTCCAGCCCTCCGTTCATCAGCTCGGCCACTATCTTACGGCGCAGGACGACAATGTCCTTAGCACCGTAAGATAGTGGTTCGAGACCGATGGCCACCGCCTTCGCGGTCGACAGGAGGAAGACGCCGCAGTCGCTCCCGTTATCCTGTTGAGGGGAGATGGACGGAAGTACTGTCCACTCCTGCTCAACATAACGGGAGGCGAGCTCGGCCCGGAGCCAGCCCTGCACCAACCCCACGTGGCGCCGGGAGAGAGAACCAAGGGAATCGAAATGCTCGATGGTTCTCTCTCCCGGCCTGACGACGATCAGTGTCCAATGGGCACTGTTGTGCACGGGGATGAACACAGTATCGACGTTCAGTAAAGCCTCTCCCCCGATTTTGGCCCGTGTTGCCCAGCGACGTACCGACTGGTAGCCTTTGTCGCGCAGATTTGAGAAGAAGAACGTGTTGAACGCGTGGAATAGGGGCTTGTCATGGCGCCCGGCGTTTCCGTGAGAACGACGCAAGTAGTCGACGATCAGAGCAAGATATGCGTTTATGATTTCGTCGTTCAGCCATGCCATTGGAGTGTAGCAGGTGGCAAGATCCCTCTTGGTCAGAGGATCACCAGACAGGGTAGTGGCGATCTGGCGATTGTTTGGCATGGACTTGATCTCCGAAATCTTCATTTCCCATTTTGGAGGGAGAGGTCGTACAGCAGGGCCTTCTGGTTTGACTCGGGTAGGCTTTTGCTTCGCTTTTTGTTCTTCTTCGATCTTTCTCCATTCAGCGGCGTAAATAGACTCTGTGCGACCTGGTGGAAGTGGCTTCTGAACTGGATAAAAAAGCCTAACGGCGGAAACAGGTCGCCCAAATGGAAACTCCGTACGAAGCCAGTCATCACGCCTCGTTCGAAGTTCGTCGTCACGCGCAGCAAGTTCCACCTTCTTGGCAGCTTCGGTAGCTGGGGGCACATTCTCTTTGTCTTCAACAATTTGTTGTTCTGTCCGTTGGGCAACACGGTCAATTTTAGGGGAGGGTGGGGTGAGATGAGGGGCAAGCTCCGTTAGGAGGGCTGGAGGTGTAGGGGCAGGAGTTTCGGTCAGAGGCTCTTGAAACCGGACGCGCTTCAGTTTTGACTTTGGTTCAACAGGAGCGCGAGGCTGAATAAGTGTAGAGCGTCTGGATTCAATATGATTGATGCTCAATGCCTTGGCAGACGGTTGCAAAGGCCGAACTGCATCATGTTCGGTTGTTTCAAGTGCATGAGCCAGAGCGCGCTCACGGCGAGTGCTTCTCCAACGACTGGGTCGGGTGCTCGCGAGCAGGCGTCGTTTGAGCCGCGGACTGAGCGACTCAACCCGGGCTCGCTTCTCCTTTCCACGTTTCTCTTGTTCCTTGAGCGAAACGGTACGAGGTCCCGATGTTCCGATACGCTTTCGAGGTTGTCGCGGGGTTCCAGTGGGCTTCCTTAATACGGAAGGACGGCGAACGTTCTCCATTGATTCGGTCTGAGAAGTAGCGCCAGCTGGATAGAGTGGAATATCGAGGGACAGTTCTGGAAATGGATAGTGTTCGACGGTAGGATATCCTCTTTCCTTCCGCCATTGATGACTCTTGAGTTGCTGTCTTTGCTGCTCTGAAAAGTTACGGAGGTTCGCTCGAGTCGGGGAAGTTGACACAGTAGTAGCGGTTCGACGAGATGAACCGGCGCTTGGTTTGAAGAGGCGTGTGACAGTTGACCAAGCATAACTGAAAGCCTTTCTGACTACCCGGCCCACAGCACTATTACGTGCGTTGTACAATGTCTCCTGCCACGACCAAGGAGTCTGCTGGCCATCTTGGTGTTCCGGAGAAGCGAAGGCCGAACCCTGAAACGCGGTTGAAGTGGGAAGAGGTGTGACTTGAAGTGAGTCGTTACAACCTTTACGGACATTAGCAATTGGATCGAAGTGAAACTCCTCAGGCCAACTGCCCGGAATACGCATGCGACCAAGGGGGAAGCTATCATGCCACTGAGGAATGACACCGCGGACTTCAAAAGGACGGATGGGACCATCAATGGGCTTGGGGCGTCCAATAGTTTTGGGACCATGGGGGCACGAAGAGGGAGAAACGCAAGAATGAGCGGGGAAATTACCTCCGGAAGGTTGCGTGGTAGCCTCTGCTATATTCGCCTGACTTTCAGAGGTGAAGCCTCGAACTCTGAATTCGGAAATGAGAGTTTCTACCGCTTTGTGCTTGGGAGAAGAGGTAACGGAGGAGTTGGCGTTTCCAGTATGAATAGACATTTTGCCTTCACTATTGTCCGTAGCTGTAGGTGCAGAATCGGCCTTGCCGCAGGCTTCTCCAGTTTGCGAGCCGGTAGCCATAGCCGGGGCGGTTCCGTCAGGCAGGACAGGAGACGAGCGAGAACCCCTTTGGTCCACACGACGGTATTTGGCGGAAGGGGTAACAGGGATGTTGTCGTCGTCGAAGAGGACTTCCTGAGTGGGTTTAATCGTAGCGCCTTCGTCAATAGATCTCTTACGGGGGAGAGACGAAAATCCAGACAGTAGAGACGCAGAGCGGTCGGACTTAGGAGCTTGACCTTGAGACGACATGTTAACATTTTGAAAGTTGGTCCATGCAAGACCACGATTAGCGACGGAAGGGACCCACTGGTCAAAAGACTGGTACCATTTATAACTCTGTTATTCCAAAAGGGATGTTTTGTGTGATTGAGACCGACGAAGGTAGAACCGTTTCGGGCCGCAAAAGATGTTTGTTTGGTTTTGTTGACGGATGGCTTTGCGACTGCGATCGGATTGGACTTCATGCGATTTGCAGCTCTAGACTTCGGCGAGAATGCAAAGCGAGGTCTGACGAAGGGGGAGCCGAACATAGGACCCCAGGGATACGGGTCATCAATTGTAGCAACATAGCGGGGTACTGGATTGGCAAAAGAGGGCCCGAGGCGAGAGTAAGTCTGAAGATGATTCTGCGGAGGAATGGAGCCAACAGGGTGAGCGCCGGTCTCTGGCTGCTGAGCAGGAGAGGACTTGATAGAACTCGTGTCCATAGGATCGAGTAAGGTGTTATCGATTTCTGACTGCGCGTGATCAGTAGGGAGCATACGCGCGTCTCTCGCGGTCTCGTCGACCTTCTCTAGCTGCTGTGTCGCGAAGACACCAGCCATTTTGGCTTCGGAAGTGAGATCTGATTGTAAGTTGATATGGCTGTCTGGAGGTAAAACTGTGGATAAAGAAGCTGGTGAGGAACGCTTAGAAATAAGATATGCTGCAATGAAGATGAGAGAGAGGATGAAGAGAGAGAAAAGGAAGGGAAGGTCTGTGAAGAGGTGGGTTGAGTCAAAACATAGAGGTGTCCATTCACTGACCATGCGCACCTCCCAGTGTTTTGTTAACAGCTCAAAGTGTTGCCATGGCGAAGAACACATCAGTGTGCGACTTTACAGGAAGCATCAATCGAAGCAAATCTGCGGCAAGCACTGAGTATGATCTCTCACTAGGAACCAGCACAGGAAAGGGATTGATAAGGAACTCAGATTTATCGCCGATGCGGAAGCTCTCACGAAGCTCTGTCGCGGCGCGAAGAGTCACATGATGCGCTCTACGTCAGGAAAAGCGCTAGGCCGAAAGTGGAAAGGTCAAATCCCGTAGATCAGGTACAAGTAATAAATCTTGAAACTCCTACGAGTAGTCGATCATAGCTTGATACTGGATATACATAGACCGGATGTCAATCACTAACTGCGAATCGGGCACAGTTCATGACCTTGACCAAGTATTGCATCTACACGGGGGGTTATTCTACAAATCACTTACGGAGTACACTTTGCTTAAACCAGCCGAGAAGTAGATGGCAAAGGAAAGTGAAAGACGATGAGGGTGGGAAGGAACAGAAGTGATATGAAATTGAGGGACAAGATATTTATGTAGATGGCCATGCTCTCGTGATTTCTACAGCCCAAGGCCTACTCTGTCGAAGACTATAGGCGCACCTTCTATCGTTACCCAAGCGATACCTAACATAGGGCAAGTCGTAAGCAAAATCATCGTTGCAGCTATTTAACGGCATCACTCACCTGAGTATACAACCAGTTTGGTCACCACTTCTACATCATATCGGACACGAGGTTTCTTCACTTGCGAAAAGACCTCCGTAAGGTCGGGTTCCTTTTCCTCTTCGTAAGCAGGAAAGGGTTCGGTTGAAGTATCTCGGTCCGTGGCTGTTATGATGCCAGGGCTGTGGCGTGAGATGCCAGTACCCATCATATGTTCATACTCGTCCAATTTGGACTGCTTTCGTGCCGATTTGGACGGCTGCGTCCCAGACATGGAGACATTCGCAGTGTCGCCGTCGTCTTCGGCAAATGAGTAATTGTGAGCGGCATTTGACAAACTCTCGCGCCTGCGCTTCTCGCGATATGCGAGAGTCTCGTAGGCATCCGCCTCGGATTGAGGACCAATGGATATGGCTCGGCGGCGCGGATGGCGGATATTGGTGAAAATCGACGGAATCTCCGCAAACGACGGAAGGACTTCATGGTCCTTCAGGTGAGCCGGGACGGTTTTGTACTGCCTGTCTAATTGTCAATCAATCTATCCTTCACTCGTCGAAGTGGTGGATGGAGACTTACGAAGCTCTGGTAAAGAATCTCCGAGGAAGCAGGAGACCCAACTTCTCCAGCGCTCGAAAGATTGGAGGTAGGGTACGTAGGAGAAGAGGTTTCATGACCTCTCTCCAAGTGAGAATCAATAGGACGCCCAGGACAAAGCGCAGTACTGTCTTTACCAGGCCCAAATCTTTGTACCGGAACGGTATAGTAGCTGGGGAAGGCTCGGACCAAGCGATGCTAGACTTCGCGAAATGCCAGCAACCCAGTTGCACTCCAATTATTACCCCGGCAAAGGCCACACTGTCGTCGAAACACGGACAGTCGTCTGCTGGTTCCGGGTGAATGCGCACGAGGATGATTATCACCAGGACCACCAGCGTGATTTGTTTCCCTGACGCTGAAAAGACGTAGTCATCCAGAAGAGGCCCGTATAAATTTTGCACGAACGTTATCAAAGCTCCGAGCAAGCAACCGATAATGACATCGAGAAACCCATGCATTCCACAGTAAAGGCGGCCTAGCACAATGGAGCAGACGTAGAGATATGTCATGCATTGAAAGATCAAATTAATGTGGTTGCTCAGAGTCGAATCGGGCGAATTGAGCAGGGTGAGCACGTAGATGGCGACAGAGACGGCATTTGTCGAATGCGTCGAAGGGAACCCATACTCTAGCGCGGCTGAACCAGACATAGTAATGCGCTGGAGCGGTGGTGATAACGGGCGGGGAAGACATAGCAAGTCCTTGATGAATCCGCTAAAGAAGACCCCAGAGGCCAATACCTGCACAAATCTGAGCGGCGCAAGTTGTTAGCTGACATGGTTCCATTTCGAGCGATGAGTTGCTCTCGTTCTCGACGGCTCAAAGAGCATCCATCCCTCTCGCGAGCACCTACCCACGGCCTAAATTCGTATAACCGCTCCAAAACAACATCGGCAAAAAGATCATGAAAAAGGTATGCGTTCCCAGGTTGGCGGTGAATGCGAAATACGAATCGAGGGTCGGGGTACGAATCTTCTCTTGAAACCAAGCCAGATAGGGTGTCTCATAGCGCACCAGAGGAAGGAGTTTCTGTCGAGGTACATAACGCCATTGCGGGAGTCGATTCCGGTCTATTCAGCGATAGAGGAAAGGAGACCAGGTAAGCGAAGACTCGAAACAAGTAGTGTACTTCATTCCGAAAGGGAAATGTCACACACGTACAGTGATCTAGGCTCCGGAGCCCGGCATCTGGCTTGCCATTTGCGCCCTTAACCATACTGAAGGCGGCCGATTCGAACAAGTGGTGTAATTGCAGATTTCCCCATAGAGTGCCAGCCAGGTACGACGTCTCAACACATGCGCGAAATTGATGATATTGACATCGCAATGGCGGATGAAGAAAAGATGACCGAGCGATATGTCCGCTTGCACCTGAATTTTATGCTTTTTCAGGGGACTTGGCCATTCGGGGCTGACAAAATACGTAGCAGATCAACGAGGGCGGGCCCACGATAATTTGTCCCGCGGCATAAGAGACTCTGGCACTTAGCAGTCCAAGCGTCGCGATAACGATTGTGCGTTGGCCGCTTAGTCAGGAGCACGTGAGGAGTGATCCGAATACGAATGAATAGCAGCAAGACAATCTATCTGCTCATTGGTACAATAATGCCTTTTTTTCTGCACTAGGGAGAATATTAGAAGACAAGTTGGTCGTCATCTTAAAGGTAGTCTAGTGATGGCTACTTGGAGAAAGGTGGCCAATGGCAACGTCAAGCGCAGATATATATTCTGGAGTAGGCACCTTTGGACTCGGCCAGTCTTGACTCTTTGAGGCCCATCTATTAGATCCAGCGTGGACAGTCAAATCGTCCGAGCTGAATCATCTGCACACATGGGCAGACTAGCGCAAATCGTCCATTGGTCTGACTCTTCATGCTCATGTCTGAGATTCAGGTTCTCAACGGCTGGAATCACATGCAAGGAATGTTGCTTGCGCGCAACTCTAAATTCCTTATTCGCTACAGACAAGTCTAGATCACCCTCAGTGCAGGAAGCAGGAAAGTCGCTCATTCAAATACTGGATATTGGGACTGGAGGTCTTCATATCCGAGGTAGCAAAGTCTGTTGTGGTATCTCTCTGTTTGGACGATTAAGTCGGCATGTATTCATGACGAATGTGAGCGAGAAAGCCTGGCAGGCGCCTGATACAAACGAACATTAGCCGAGGGTATAGAGAGGCACCTCTCTAGGATTATAGGGAGTTACGTAGTAGTATGTGCTGGGGTCCAATTCCAGTACTGACAAACCACAAGCCAGGGTAAGCTTTCCGATCGGGGCGGCTCATGGTCCGAACCTCCAGCTCAGCCTGGCCCAACGACAACACAACGAAATATGGACCAGATCAACAGGCGGATCTCGTTGTGTATCACTGGTGCTCTAAAAATAAGCTGGGAACTGAGAGCGTGCACGAATGGGGATTCTGGAACTAAGGAGTATGGTGCTAGGCTTGAGTGGCAGCGGAGCTTCGTGCGTCATCCCAGCCACGCGTGGTTGCCATGGCAGCCCTCCAGCCCGTAAACACCGCATTTTGAAGGCTGCAGTTTCATGTCATCTGCACTGGTTGTTGGAGCAGCAGCCATGCTCTACTCAATTGGGAGAAACGGATTTTACGAAGTGGCATCCCTTTCATCCTTCAATTGTTCCATATTTCAACCGCACCTTATCCTCTACACATTCATCGAGAGCATCAATTTACCATCTGTTTGTTCGAACCGCACGGCACCATCGGTTACCTGCGAGTCACCTGCGACTGGAAAGCCGATAAATCCGTTTCGCTTCTGATACGTCAGCTGGACCGTTACAGCAGCACCTCTTACTTCAGACAGATTTCTCCCTTTCTGGGTCCGCTGGGTACCTCGTGCCAAATTTATTCTCCTAGATTCATGGGCATGTCAGGACACATGTATGAAGATAGTGGCTACGCAGCCTCTCGACGTCGTTCCCTTGCAACTCCACCACCCTCCATGACTCCAAGACACAATCGGACCCGTAGTCAAAGTGTGAGGGTGAGTAATGGAACCGTCAGCACAAATACCAGCGTCTCAAGTGGAAGGATGTCGGAAGCCACAAACATCACTCAGCCGCCAGCGTATTCAAAAAAGTTTGTAGTGGTGGGAGACGGTGGTTGCGGTAAGACATGTCTTCTCATCAGTTATTCACAAGGGTATTTCCCAGAGGTAAGTGTTTTATCTTTGATTGTCGGATTTGATGAGACTCATCTCTCACTGCTTTAACTTCTGCCTTTCAGAAATATGTTCCTACCGTGTTCGAGAATTATATCACGCAAACCACCCACCGAGCTTCTGGAAAGACAGTCGAACTGGCTCTCTGGGATACTGCTGGACAGGAAGAGTACGACAGACTGCGGCCACTCTCATATCCCGAAACAGATCTTTTGTTCGTCTGCTTTGCCATCGACTGTCCTGCATCGCTAGAGAATGTCATGGACAAGGTATTTTACCCCGCTCTCGTCTTTCTGCAACATCTAACTAACATGAACAGTGGTATCCCGAAGTACTGCACTTCTGTCCCACCACACCTATAATACTTGTCGGTTTGAAGTCGGACCTGCGCACGAAAAGGACTTGCATTGAACTCCTGAAAACTCAAGGATTGACTCCCGTCACACCGGAACAAGGCGAGGCAGTTGCCAGGAGAATGAATGCTTCCTATATCGAATGCAGTAGCAAGGAAATGCGCGGTGTTGATGAAGTTTTTGCAATGGCAGTCGATACCGTCGTGTCTGCCGAAGAGCAAGACTGGATAGGCACCAGCCAGAGTAACGGTACCAGCAGCAAATTCGGAGGAAGCGGCGGTGGCCCCAGGACCGGTACTAAGAAGGTTAAGAAGCGAACTTGCAAGATTTTGTAAATCTTGTGCTTCTTCTCTCCACTGGCTTGACTTTTCCTTGTTTCACAGTTTTCCTTCAGCCGATCTCGGGGCCTGGTTGCCTCGACGCCGCGACGGACCTGATAACTTTTTTTTTTGTACGCGACATGCTACCCCGAGCCGGATAATAGTTGGAAAAGAAATATTCGGCTTCTGGCAGGTGTTGCGGCCTGTCGTTCCTTACTTCGGACATGCTGGTCAAGGTGGCTTTCTGATTTATGTTCTCTTCTTGCTATACCAGTTTGGTTTTGATGATTGTTACCATGAACCCAACGATTACCCTTTTTTCGTCCTCGCTTCCATTTGCGCGATTGACTCTATTTAACATTTGATGTCTGTCATGAACTAGCCTGAGGCCATTCTTCTGCATGCATGGCATGGGTGTTTACCGGCGCAAGCAACGACCCCATGTACCTGAAAGGATAAACTATCAAAAACTGATGATTCTAAGCACGTGTCTGTTAATTTTTGTAGCAAAATCCGACGTAGTAGTGGTATCAAACAGTGGAATATCCAACCCAGTAATATAAGTACATAACTCGTAAAAGAAGTAGAACGATCATCATATGCAAGACACCGTGTGCTTATATCGCTAGTGACTGGTCGATGCTCCCTCGGTGAAACTCTGATCATGGCCTTCCCTTCCTTCCTCTCCATCACGTTGCCCTTCACCTGGCCTCGTCCCGTTCTGCTCACTCTCTTCAGAGCGGCCCATGAAGTTCTCAAACTGTGACCAGAGAGCTTCGACGGAACTGAACTCATTGCCAACCTGCATATTATGTTATTAACGGGGGCTGGTCACTCATTGGTTCCGTTGTTACTTACTGCAATGATACTTTCCAGGTTGCGGTTTAGGCGGTTGATGTTTTGGAGTACTTGCTCCATACCCTGTTGTGGTTCCATCAGCGTTGTAATGAATAGAATGACTCCAATCCATTAAAGGAAATCAATAAAATAGGAGATCTGAAAAGTGCGTAATGCAGTCATTTCTGTCTCTCATCCAGCACTGGATTGCTTACCACTGCGATTTCCCGCACCAGTTCCGCTCGCTGCTGCTCAAAGACTGTTGGAGTTGATCTCCTCGGTGTTGTTGACATTTTCCGCGCCGTCCAATTGTACTGAGTCCAATGATCTTCAATAAAAATTACTCTGCCTAGTATCCGCCGTAAGGGATTGATCGCAAAATCTTATATGTTATGTATATTGTGAAATTGTCTGATTTGTTTTCGGACGCGTTGATTTGTTGCCATTTTGCGCTTTGTGGCTGATGCGGGGCAGAAGGTGGCAGTATCTGATTGGGCTTTGACCGCCTGTCGCTTGTTTGGATGTCATGGTTCGAGATGGTGGTGGTTATGTGCGAAAAAGAGATTGAACTGGGAAATGTTGTATAAAGGGCTTTTTTTTTTTTTTTCTTTTTTCTTTTTCTTTTTTTTTTTTGGCCCCTCTGCAGCAACGTGATTGCTACAGTACCCAGAGGGAAACTCAGGTCATAGTCTGGACTCTGGACCGAAGGCCCAAGCAGCTTCTCTCCAGAGCCACCAAACACATCCTCCATGACTTGAACGTTTGAAGCAATGGCTTCACTTTGAGAAACCTCATTGACATAGATGACGGCCCTTGCATAGTGACACGGCATGCCAATCTCTCTACGAAGTAGTTGTTAACTTCCAGTGGGGAGGTCCGGCAGTTACAGCAGTAAAAACGTCATAGCTCACTGGGCTCTGAAGCTCTGAAGCCTAAGATCGAAGTGGCCATGGCAAGAGCCAGATTATTCAAATTGGCCGTCTCAGGAGAGAGTTCACTACTACAGTACGAACGATTTCAGAAACCTTTGTGCAAGGACAACATAACGATCCCCAGTTCCTAGGAAGACGAAAAGCATGCTGCGTGTTGACCACAAATAAAAGTATTAGAGAGGAAGAGCTCGTCAGAGGAAATCATAGTGTGTGAGATGAAATTTGAAGGATGCCCATATGAGAAGATTTAACTGATGATATCAGAGAATCATAATTCAATCTTCTAGCGTTTTTATACACAGCATGACCCATGTCGTAATAAGGATGCCTTGATCCCTTACAAGGGGCACCTGTGGTAGTACTCTGATATAACTTAAGGTCAGATAATATAACTTCGTATGAACTGCTGCTTCGACCCTTCGCTCTAGCTTGCATCTTGAATGGCTAGAATATGAGTGAGCAAATACTCTAAATGGAAGCTTTGGAGCCACTCACGACATTGAGTTGCGGGCCGAGCTGCCGAAGTCTTTAAGTAATGATTAACTACTGTATTGGCTTCTTTATATTCCCTACTTAGTTAGGTCCCTACTTGTAAGCACACATATCATATTAGTCCATACACTAAACCCAAGGAGGATTACAACTATCCTGACTCGGATGGGTAATGTGGGGTTGGGGATTTGGGGTGCATCGTGGGTCTAACAGTTAAGTCACTAGATGCAATCGAGCGTGTCTATGTATGCACATATAGGAGCACAGACTCAAGCATCGTTCCTGATTGGAAAATCCTTACTACTGCAGGTGTAGTTAACCAAAGAAGACAGATCATGTGGGGTATTTGCGAGCTAGGATCATGTATCAGGCTGATTCTTTCCAGGTTTGACACGGAGTATATCCCTGCTTCTACACTGGGACAAGATTTCGTGAATACTAGCATGCACAGCGTCCCTTGAATTCCTTGATTTTGGAGAGTGACTCCTGTTTTTGTACCACATCTAAATGGTTAGCAGGAGACGATCGACCTAAAATTAACGAACTTATAGCTGTGGTACTTACAACGGACAGTAGACAGTAGGACGTAGGCGGAAGGGCTACTTCCGAGTGAGGCTTAATGCATCATCGTCTGTGAAGGCAAAGAAAGACTCAGAGATGCTCCTTCATTGAGTTTGTAGAGGGGAAAGATGATATGGAACAGAACACAGGATGAGGAGTGAGCAGCCTAGAAGTGAGTTACTTGATTACAGGTCAGACTAGTCGTATAATGGAACAGGCAACGAATGTAATATTCTTTGAACTATAGCTCCAACTATCGAGTAATCTTGCTCTTATTGCACTAGGATCGCTTGATAGGTAGCGTCACAAGCTTGTAGGAACAATGCATCTGCGTCATGATTGCCGTCTTTCTCTCATAGTGGCCTCTCAATTCTTTGGTCTATGGGGACATGAAGGACGTCAGTAAAAAGAGCTGCGATGGGCAATCTCATGGATTCAGGTAAAAGCCCTTACTTTGAGGGACGAGTATCTTGGCATTGATAGCATGCACCGCACGGTTGAGTTCCACAGTCCCAGCAAGTAGTAAATGGGCCAGAGCACCCGAATCCACAGCAGTTGTAAGGAATGTCGCCTTGATCAGTGCCATGAGACAGAGCTTCTTGGTTCCTGGCATCAATCTTAGAAGCAGAAAGAGCAGTTATAGAGGGCAGGACTAAAAGTCCTGTTAAAGCAAGACTTAGGAGTTTCCAGGATCCCTTCATTGCTGTGAGAGTTAAAATTCAGTAAGAGGGTGAACAAAGAAGTGGTACCTTGTGGGAGATTAGCTGGTGATACACACACCTATTATATGAAACAGTACAGTTAGGCACAGCTTTCATTTCATAAAATGGGCATTTGTGAAATTTCATATGCTTCTGGACAGGGACTCAGATGTTCTAGATACGGAAGCTGGCGCCATGCGATGGATAGATTGCTGATAGGTTATAAGTGATTACCAAGTACAGAGAATAAATGTGCTACCTGAGGTACCTAGTTGATAGTTAGCTAAATTATATCGGCTGCTCGGCCCGGAACTTAATATTACATCAGTACAAGCCTTTAGGAAGCTAATATGAGTCATGACTGTGCATAGCACCATCAGTAACTCCCAAGCTTTTAGTGTATGTCGTCTTTCCTAGGAGCTGACTGGTGACTGCTACTACTAAAGTAGGATTTTAGAAGCGCTCGGCTATGCCATTAGCTTGTGAACTTATATTATTCGGTCAGTTCTGCGCTGAGTTGTGTGACATTTGAGGATAGCTGGGATACCTCTTTCTCAAGAGGAATCTGTGTTGTTTACAGCCTAACCTTGGACAGGGAAGGGCAAGATCAGAGATCTTAGTCTCTATGACTACGCCAAACATATTGACCTTTGACCTGCCCTTACCCGCAATAGATCATGTCTTGTAGAGCGGCATATCATATTCTACGTCTTTTGCGCGGCTTTTTGAGTCGTTTCCTATTCGGTCATTATCAGTGAAAAGTCGGAGTTACAATCCAGACAACAATGCTTCTATTCAGTGTGATTGGCGGCATGGCCATCTGAAATCTTCTTAAGGGGTGGGCCTGATGGAAAAGTGCAGAAAATATGACATCGATAATGATGTTGATGCTTGCATTTTATGCACTAATTTCTACTAAACCATGCTGTCTCACCTGCTATGATCTGTCTCCTCAAATGAAAGCTCACTGTCTTGTCTGCACTCGTTCCTGAAAGCTGACCTATACTGCCTGAGACTGAAAATCATTTACTCGGTGGCCGTATATATTCTTGTTTAGCTCACATCATCCTTTACAATTCTCTGGTCCAGTGACTATCAGCAGTCAGATTAAAAAATTGCTCTGAGAATGAAGTAAATGAAGTTAAATGGACACTATATATACTTTCACTCGATGACTTAAGTTGAAGCTTAATTTTAATCTTATGATGCAGCTTACCAGCAGCGCCAAAGTCCATTCAACAGCTTCGATGTAAAATTGGGATCAACGTGGCACAAGAAACATGATCTAATACTACCTCGAGTACAACAAATCAAATATCAGATATCATGGAACCCCGAGACAAGTTAACGGTCAGGACGAAACAGCCAGGATCTCTTCGGCACTTCGTCCAAGAGTCTCTGTATCTCTTGTTTCCTATAGAACTGGCCCTCCTCCTTTAGCCTCGACCTGCCACTTCCTACCCCCATCCATTGGCTGCTCTATGAAAATGATTGTCCGGAAGGTGGTCGGCCACAACGATGACATAAGGACTCAGCTGTGCGGTGCCAGCACCAGCAATCTCAGAAGTCGGCTTGGCCTCGATGTTGAGGAAGTGCACTTCGAAAGGGATGTGCTTGGTCTCAGGAGCTCCACGAGGCCACTCTGTGGAATGTGCAACAATCCCTGGCAGTTAGCATCGTGTGGAACGGACCGAAGAACGGTGGTCTTGGATCTGCATGAGACAGGCTGCAAAACACATGGGCGTCCCGGGGCCAGATACTGAGGACCTGAAGAAGCTGGACAAGCCGTTTTCAGATGACATTCTGAAAATCGAGATTTTTTGTCCTCAACATTAAAATTTAAGTGTGGGGGATGTGCCTGGCTTGTTCTACGGTAATTATGACTTAAAAACAGATTGGTGCTTGTGCTTAGCTTCCTGTGCTCCTATTGCCGTGGGATGAAAAACCTCGGAATTCTCCATCGGGATCCATCCGTTAAATTCGAACCGGTCCCCATCAGCAAATGTATTGCCGTACCCCAGTCGAAAAGGGGCTCTGACGATCTGACAGGACCAATTTCATAACTGAGAGGAAGACTTACAAATCCAATGAGCGTGTAGCCGAGATTGTATCTCAATTGACGAGCGTCAGCATCTCTAAGCAGGCGTCATGAAACAGGACCCTATCCTTGTTACACTCCAGGAAGTTAATCTCTGGATCTCTAGGGTTCTGGAGGCGCGGGTAAAAGAAGCAGCCGGGCTTGAGATCAACATGTTCTGCCTAAATCATAGATGAGAAAGCACGGTTCTGCGTATAGCGTTCATCCAAAGTGCGAGTTTAAGAAGGACATACGAGGGGAGACACTATATGCAAGTCTACCGAGTCTTTCTCAGTGAAAAGATGGGCATCTGGGAGTTAGTGCGCCACCAGGCGAACGCCACGCAGCCAGTGAGTCCCAGCATGTCAGTAACTGCTCTTAAGATGAGTGAAATTCAACACCTTGATGTCCTACAAACGGGTATCCGGTGCATCGTATCCCAAGAACACTTTGCAGAACTTCGAACGACTTTGCTGATTTCATGTTAGCTTTTTGTTCCAAAGCTTAAGCCGATTATTGGTTTCCGGTGCTGATGTACTTGCTCACGGTCCCGCCCACAACTGCAGTGATCGTCGTATGTCTCATGCTCATCAAATTGGTCTTTGTCGAGAAACGGTAGAGAGGACTGCTTGAGAAGCCTCTTGTACGTCGGAGGACCGCCGCAAATATTGCCAAAGAAATGGATTTGTTCTTCGTCCATTACTTCTCACTGCCGTTTCTCGAGTCTTGATCTATCAACCAAGTGTTAAATGACCGAGAACAGAGGGGGGAGGGTGGGGGCAGGGAGGATATGATTGGAAACTTGAAGCACTGGGACAAGCTTCTCAAGAATCATCCAGGCCGGTTCTACTGATATGCTCGAAATATAAGTCGTACTTTCATGTGGCAAAACTGCAGCAGTTTTCCCGAGAACACAACCCATGCCATTCGGGATAGCCTCACGACTTCCCAAAGAGACACAACGCAAAGCTGCAGCGACTTTACCTGGCAGCGCCTAGTGCCATTTACGCTGAGGCTTATGTGCCCTGCCCTGTATAGGTCGGCAATAGAATGTCGATACCAGTCAATATGAGCCTCGATAATCAATCGCACTACGGTGACAAAGTATCTATTACGGAGTAGTGTAACCAAGCGAAGAAAAGTATGGACGATGTCATATCAATAGTAACAAAGTAGGATTTGATATCATTCCTCTGAGCCGCGGACAAGGACGGCAGGCAGGTACTATGATTCAGAAGAATTCATACAGAGGAATGATAGCGCCTGGTCTACGATGTAGTCAGTGGCTGTTGGTTATATTACCTGCATTTTGCCAAGACAGAGAGAGGTCGTTCATGTGCGTCATATGTCCCATTGGATCAAGGTATGGAGAAGAATGAAGGGGCGCAGAGGGGAACGAACGCTTCAGAGTTTTTTTTCAAGTGGACGACAAGTCGCAGTGTCTCAGTCTGGAGAGATTGGATGCGTCGAGACTCTCTTGGGTTCTCTGATGAGGTCATCGTCGTTCTCGACTCTTAGCGCTGGGAATGAATCCCGAATCCGTAATGGCCAGGTTTGTAGATGAAACAGGTCGCTTTCGACCTTCGAAGTTATTGCATTGGAGGTTACAAGACACAACACTCAACAAAAGGTTCCCGTTTTACTTTCTGGGATTGGACCAAGGATCCAGAAAGGATAGCTACCTTAATATTCGGTCTCAAAGTTGAGATTGCCAATCAGCTCGGAAAGACCCGCTGATCAACCACAGGACGGTCATGGCTCAAGGAGTTCGTGTCGGTGTGGAGTTGTATGGAGAGGGACCCAGAACAGGGACATCTATCTACCTCGAACAAAGTTAGAGAGGTAGTGTCTGAGGAATGTCTGATTGATAATCACCAAAACCTTCCGAAACAGACGAACCATCCGGCTGCCTCATCCTCCATCCTCTCACACGATCATCAATCCTTATTTGCTCGTGCGAAGCCACATCAGCAGCGTACGCCATTTTCCTCCACAAGCGCCCACTTGGGGTCCTGCTGCGGCAAGCCACAGTGTAAAATTGCTGGGCGATCGTTGCCAGTACGAGACACAGACCCCCACCGGATCATCATACGCCGTGCTAGTACTGCTGCTGAGCAATAGTATCCTGGCGCCCTTGGTGCGGTGGGAGATCTGTGTGTCGGGTTAAGGTCATTCGCAACAGAAGGAAAAATTCTAAACCCCGCAAATTTGGGATTATCGGCTGCATGTCCATCCTTTTCAGTCACGGGAGCGTGTGGCTGTTAATCTTTAAAAATGTTTATTCCTCACGCGGGTGTTTATAATCTTGGAATACCCTCGGATCCCTTTTGATCTTTCTTTGCTTCTTTGGAAACAGAATTCATAAGCGATTGTCCATCATCATCGCTTATTCTCGGGGAACAAATGTCTTTACCTCACCTGACAGCATCTCTTAGCATACTTTTATTACTGTCGGTCCGCTTCTATTGACTCACCAGTGCACTGGGACACCACACAAGCAAATTCACAATCAACAACAACAGCACTTGAAAATGCGCGACATGCCATCCAAGTTCATCGAGATCCTCGATCCCTCAGACAACCTGCGCATCTCCGATTCGGACGTCCGCCTGGAAGATGTCCTAGCCGATCACGAGGCCATCGTCACTCGGCCTCGGTCCGCCACGAAGACCAGCGACCGATCAGACCGGGATAACTCCTCGTCGCCGTCGCAGCGTTGGAAGAGACTGAGCACTATCCTAATCACGCCGCGACGACATTCCACATCATGATCGCCATACTACGGTCCCAGAACTTGGTTCTGGGATATTTCAGTTATCTTGCGACGATTTAGACAGACACAAGGGACCAACCAACTCTACTACCTGGACGCGGATATCTGATACCTCTTCGATACGTTATTCTGGATTACCGAGATAGTTGACTGGTTCAACACTATGACTCTTCTTGTTGGCTGGGACTTGGTTGGAATCCCATGTTACGATAATGACGTTACGAAAATGAGCCCTTCTATACCCTGTGCATTTTGCTATACACCTTTTTCCCTTCCTGTTCAATAAGAGTCAGCTGGGCTAAGACACGCAATCATTCTCCATCATGTACTACTACATTATGTCTTCTTGGATCATACTGCGCCACGGCACCCAACCGAATTCGACGGATATCCAACATTGCCACTGCTGGCGTGGCCTGTTCAGCATGATTGCAAATCATCCCAAGTGCGTCGACATACCTAGCTCGTGGATACATACATTGGCGGATATAACGGGAAACATTGCGTACTCGGTGGAGTTCAGAGGTGTATATGTCGATCCTGATCATCGGGTGCCGATCAGATATGCCGTTGATCCGGATGTACAAGCGAACCAAGCAAACTATTTTTAGACTGATTACAAAATAGATCAAATATTCTGCTTGAATGACAGGAATAAAGTAGCCTTACTAGTCTACCTCCTCTTCAAAGGGTAAATATTATCTTGATTTGCACTCCAGCGCCTATGACGTCATGGGCGTAGACTCAGCCCTGGTGTGCCTTGGCGCCTAAACATGTACCTTTGTCATCTATGATTGTGACGATGAACATATCAGTAAGAAATGATATACTTTGAAGATGAAGATTGATTCTCAGCTAGCAATTGGGGATTGATGCTAGGCTAAGGATCTCTGCAGAATTCCTAGCTCAAGCAATGCCTCAGCCCATCCACTGCCACATCCAGCTCATGCAGGCGCGAAGCTGTTCTTCCGCCAGCACGATATCAGTCTCCTTGCCCTGACGTGGTCGTTCGAGTAACTCCTCAAGAGGAAGAACGAGAGGAACACCAGAAATAGACTCAGAGCTGATTTCAATAGTCTGTGCAGCGTACGCCTGCAGAGGAGCCTCAGCCTGTGGTGGTAGCTGACGTTGATTTATCGGCGTGCGGTCTTGCTGCCCCCATTTCTCCATAATCAACGTTCGTCTCGGGCGATGTATGCCAAGTACGAGGACGATCCGGACTTCGCCTTGTGAGTTGCGCAGCCACCATCTTGCCTCTTCGCGGAGCCGGGGAAGTGACGCGGCGACGCCTGCTTCGATCACCAGGGTGGGCCAGGCCTCGCGGTCTCTCTGGATCCGGGCCTTGGGGAAGAGACATCCATCCGGCTGTTTGCCCTTTGATTTTGCGCAGAGAAGCCGGGTGGTGGTTCCACCCGATGCGAATTCTGAGGTAGGGTCCATTCCCATGCGGACGCAGAGGAGATCGATCTGGCGGGTGATGTTGGACGTCATGACATCGTGCCCGTAAGTGAGGATTTTGAGGATGCCGGTAGTGTTCTCGAACATGAATCGGTATGAGATGCCGTTCAAGGGACGTTCTTCGCTGTCCAGGTCGAGGCGGGCATTTTTGGTCAGTCCGAGAACGAGGATGAACTGGTTTCCATCTTCTTTCTTGTTCAGGGAGTCGTGGACTCGCTCTGCTGTTTGCTGAAGCCTTTTCATGTTCGTGAATTGGACGAGGATATGATCTTCTGGCAAATTCGCCGTCAGTTCTTGACTAGCCATGCTCCTGTGTTGTTAGCATAAGTTGCATTCTGACACATCCTGTCCAGTCTTACTATTTTCAAGGATTTTGGGTTATGTAAAGATCCAGCACTCTGAAATAGCCAAAAGTCACACACCGACACTTCAAAGCAGCTTTTTTCCAGTACAAAGTGGCTCTTCTCGAAGAAATATCCAGAGCGTGCTCTCAACTTCTTGGTTTAGATTATATGATGTGGACAAACTTGTGTATAGTGAGAGCAAGACTCTGGGACGATTGTGACTCAGAGTTTCCCTTCTTGTGGTTCTTCAAGACGTAGTTGACGTGACCATTAGCCCTTGTGTTGGTCCCAGAGGTAGGTAGTCAGCAGAAGCCTTAGGCACACTCCATTCAACGATGACGGTTTACAAGCGTCAGGCAACAAATGAGCTGAAGTCACCCAACACTAACATCTCAGGAAATGGATGAGAGTATTCTCATGGTGAATCTAGGACACCAAGTATTCAATTCTTACAGTTGCAACTTAGACGGATGCTGCCCTCATATTACAGTACCAGGTAGGGCCGTTCGTCACAGTTCACCTCGTCTGCACGGTCCTGGCGAGTAAGCCACCGGAGAACCTCCCATAATCCAATGTGATCTCTGACCTCAGAAACTTGCTTGGAAGCGCAGGTAAAGGGGTGGATGCAATCCTCTTGGCTGTACATATAATCTGCATATCGAGGTCTGATGTTCTGAGTATTGACGTGCTATCACCGACATCACCCTATCCCTTGTCGATATTGCTACCGAGTAGTCGGTTCGACATACATTCCATGTCTTGTCAATTTTTTACGTAGCTTTTTGGAGTCGAGTATCAATTTGTAGAAGGATACAGTCATTCTACGTGACTTTGGGCTAATGTCCATTGGGTGCACAGCGGCCATGTAACACGTCCAGACTTTCAGCTTTCAGAGGGCCGTACTGGCGTTTGAGGGACAGGTGGAGGATAGGATGATATTAAAAGTATCTATTCTTAAATATTTCCTAGGAGAAGAGCCCTATAACAGCTGGGGCTTACCTGTACTTGACTTCCCGACCTATATTCACTTTTCTCACTCACTTAGGATACCAACTATTCAATGGCTGAGGTACACCATTCACCTAATTACTAGAGAGGTAGGCACTGGGTTTCTTGTGGCACAAAATCCTTCTTGTGCAATTTACTGTCATCAATAACTGATTAGCTTGAATAACCTTCATCAGTTCTCTCAATTCACAGTGTCTTATTTTGCAGCATATTATAGGATGTTCTGTCTCTGTTGTCAAGACAGCTATAAGATTATATGTTATGTTCCCCATTTGGAAGGTTGGATGGAGTAGATGTGTTGGATGCGTTATCAGTGACGTCACGGCTACCCTTGGTCAACATCCATCGTCAACCATAGCCCTCTGAATTACATGTTCAATATCTATCGTTCAATATCTATCCTTGGCTAGAAACTCGACAGAATAATGCCTCCTAAACGCGCAAAGAAAGTTACCTCAGCAGCGAAAAACCCCCCATCACCCCCACTGTCCGAGAAGAATGCCACGACAACAAACCTACCCGTGCCCGAGCTCAGTGAGCATGCCAGCCCACCCGGCTCGCAGCAAAGCGAGATCACAGACACCGTCCCCTTCGACTCAGATGAAGAGATGCCAGAGGAAACCGAGCACACCGTCATCGAAGAAGCAGACAAGGAGAAAAGATCCGGCTACGCAGGCGGATACAACGCCCTCAAGTCATTCAAAGGACAAGTATACTCGGGGATGGCGGTAGGCGGATCCCACACCTGGACCTACGACTCGGGAACCTGGAAAGAAACCAAGGAAGAGCCGGATCTCTGGCGGATCGACTACAGGACCAACAAGCGGCGAGCGCGCAAGGCGCCAGAGGGGAGCGGCGCCCCCGTCGGAACGGAGTACCACTGGCTGATAGTGGCGCATCAGCATGTGAAGAAGGTGGATGCGAACACGTACGAGACGCATCTGACGGGCTCAAAGTACAAGCTGGCGTACAAGTCTGCGTCGGCGAACTCGTGGTCTATTCCTACGGTGAAGAAGCAGCGCGAGAGGGAGGTGGAGTTGCTTGAGGATGCGAAGCAAAGGGTTCAAGGGCTGCCGCCGGTGTTGGCGGCGGAGAAGATTAGAGTGGAGAAGCATGAGAAGGGGCAGCAGAGGCTGGATAGTATGTTTACCAAGGCTGGAAGCGCGGATTCGGGGTCGAAGAAGAGGAAGATTGATACGACCTAGTCGGGTTCACTGTGTATTCAAGCGTAACTTTAGTGAGTGAATATAATCAAGAACCGCATCAGATGTACTGGTACTTACGCTATTAGCTTTTCTATACGAGAGGATCTGTCATATCGAGAGACAGTCATCTCCAGCCTGGTTCTGATATGCCCATAAAGTTGAATTAAACGGCCTGAAATATTCCATAAGGGAAAATTGCTGTTCCTGAAGACTCGGAATTGACGTATTTGGTTCATCACCACACTCCAGACTGCATAGCTTCAAGTATGATCGAACTCAGAATCATAAAATAAATTGACCATGAGGACCATTCCAGCCAAGAACGGCTAAATTGACGGTTTAATTGTATCCCCGCAAATCTCGGGGTAGCAACTACCGATGCCGCCTTGGCTACACGAGGTCTGGGGTATAAAGCTCCAGAATGATGGAATCCGGGTCAGTTGAAGTTCAAACTGTCAATTGCTCTCAAAATGCGGGGAATCACGTCGTTCTGTGCTGTGTTCCTTGCCGCTGTGGCACAGGCCAGATATATTGTCCCCGGAGGCCGATGGCGAGATACCAACGGGGACCTAGTCAATGCGCATGCTGGCGGGCTTCTCTATGACGACAAGTCGGGCAAGTTCTGGTGGTTCGGCGAGTACAAGGTTGAAGGGCAGACGGAGGGTGGCGGTGTCTCGGTGTATAGTTCGGAGGATTTGGCGACGTGGGAGCCTCATGGATTGGCTTTGAGTATGACAATTGGTCTCCTGAAAGATGCCTGGCTGATTATTCTACAGAGCCGATTGAAGGACATCCGTACATCTCCCCCAAGCACATCATTCAGCGCCCTAAGGTGGTCTACAGTGAGGAGTCGAATCAGTATCATGTATGGTCATCATCTCTCGCTATGCTTCTTCTAACAGATACCAGATGTGGTGGCATGCAGATAATTCGACTTATGGATGGCTCCTGCAAGGATTCGCTACTTCCGACAACATCAACGGGCCCTATACCTTTGTCGACGCGACGGCCCCGCTGGGCAACTGGTCGCAAGATTTTGGGCTCTTCACCGACTATAAGGATGGCCGCTCGTATGCGCTCTACTCGAACGGCGACAGCAAGTATGGACGCGATGTATACCTTACCGCGTACAACAAAAACGTCACCGCGCTGGAGGAAGTCGTCTACCGGTTCCCAAAGTTCGACCTGGAGGCGCCAACTATTATCCAAACGGAGAAGAGCTACTGGGCGTTGATGAGCCACAAGACTGGCTATCGGCCGAACAGTGAGTGAGCAACAGCCTTGACGATAATTGCAATGACTGACCGAGAAGATGTCGTTGCGTTCCGCGCGGACTCGCTCAGCGGTCCCTGGTCCCAGCCATTCATGGTTGCTCCTCTGAACACACGCACGTTCAGCTCGCAGTCTGGTTTCTCCCTCCGCATTAAGGGGACGAAAAGGACGACCTATTTGTACATTGGTGATCAGGTAAGTTTGTCCTTGGGAGGGTGAATGGAAGGTAATGAGTACAGTGGGATTCCAACTCCCTCTGGGAAAGCCGGTACATCTGGCTTCCAATGGATATCGACGAGAAGAAGAAAACGCTCGACCTCGTCTGGAATGACGTCTACGACCTCAATGTGTATGTCACCAACCAATTGAATAAAGAAATACTGACAAGCCCAGCAAAACCGGTGAATGGAAAGCCATCCGTGGCAACACATACACGGCCAGGAAGGCCAAGACAAACGGCAATGCGTATAAACAGGAAGCTGTATGTCCTCTGCTCGGTCCAGCTCAGTCGCAATGCTAATTGAGTAGAACTTTGCAACTGACGGTGTCATCCTGACGGGGATCTATGGCAATGACAGCACGGTCACCTTTGAGGGCGTCGAGGGAACTGGCAAGCCACAATGGGTGTCTTTCTACTACCAGAGTACGTCTTCTTCCCCCTTTTTCAATTTCCACACTAAGATTATAGACACCGATGATATGGGCTTTGGCGATCAACGTAAGTATACCTATGAGCCTAAATCAGCAGAAAAGCTAACGGTACCAGCGGGAGGCTCCCCCGATCGCATTGGTGGCTCATGGCAGCTCCGTCGCATCAGCAGCGTCGTAGTCAACGGGAACACGTCGAACGTGGAGACCCTTTATCAGAGGGATACCCACAAAAGCATCATTCTTTCGGCGCCGCTGCTGCTGACGCTGGAGAAGGGCTCGCATAATACCATTACTGTCGGAGGATTGTACAATGGGGTTGACTACAAGGGGGCAGATCTGGATAAGATTGTGGTTTATCCGCCTGAGCATTGATATTGATGGCGAGTATGCAGAGAACCAGACCGTTAGATTATGTTTATAGGAGGTTATGTGGCTCGTTAGATGTACCGTGAGCATAGTATGCCCATATTGATCATCAAGCATTGTGTGAAATATGTCATTTCATGTGTAGTGAACCCAAGGCCAGCAAGGGTGAAAAAAGAATTTATAATTACGCAGAGAAGAGCCATAGACAATTTCCTTCCCTTCCCTCGCAATGTGAGCAATAACGATGTTAGATGTATACAATTACATCTAGATCAAGTAGTTCACTCAAATTCTTTCAAATTCCCATCGATCCTCATATTGTAACCAACTGTTGAAGCTTGAAATAACGTTTTTGTCGAGTTATGGGTGATGCAAGTAATAGGCGACACTGAATATAGAACTTAACTTATTGTGGCAATAACAACAAAAGGACTGGTACCTCAGTGGTAGAGGGTGAGATTGCAATAACATCGCAAGATGTGTACTGTAATATCTTGAGGTCCCGTGTTCGATCCACGGTCAGTCCTAATTTTTGTTCTTTTTATTTTGTTTTCCGACCCATCATTGCCAAGACAGCTTCTCCACCAAAGCATGCAATTAATGCAATAACATGTTCAGCCACTGATATTGCCATTCACTATTGAATATACCCTACTATCTACGTACTAGTTGAGTAGTAAGTGGATGCCCTGCGGCCTTGGTTGATCCTGTAGCTCAATTAAACGGCCTAACCTTGCACCGCGTAAATGAATAGAAAGTTTAACGATCAAGACCCTACTTTAGAAACATAATCTTGGCGAGGACAGTCGTGTTGCCACCGAATAGGGCATCGACAGATCTGGATGCTTGTCTAATATGCAGCAACATTGCAGCCTGATTACTTGTCTGTACTCCGTCGATGCCGGAAATACCAATCCTGGTTGTTAAACTAAGTTGTTGGCAGTCCGACCCCGCAGATCATGCAAAAGGAAGGAGTCTTCTGCAGCAAAATACTATAAATAGGCGATCAAATACATGCAATTAATATAAGGCCCATCTCCCTCCCATCACCTTCATCGATTGCTCAGCCACTGAAAATGGACGAGAGAATATACGAATTAGACAGGCAAGGCGACATCACCTTTCTCGTCCACGATGTCCCAAAATCCCTGCCACAAACCCTAGACCAACTGCACCCACTCCTGCTAGACGGTTCAACACCAAAAGGCACCTCACCTGCAGCAGCAGAGGAAGATGAAGCCAACCAAAAACCCCAAGCGATACTCAAGATTCGCGCCTCCTCAAAACACCTCACCCTCGCCTCCCCCCAGTTCACCCGCACCCTGCACAGCGGCTTCCAGGAATCCCACGACCTCCATCAAAGAGGCCACCTGGACCTCGAAATCGACAACTGGGATCCCGCTGCCTTCCTCATTCTCATGCTCATCCTGCACGGCCGCACGCGCCCCGTTCCCAGGAAACTGACTTTCAGCAGACTCGTCGACTTCGCCGTGCTGATTGATTACTACGAGTGCTACGAGGCGGTCGAGGTCTTCACCGATATGTGGATCAGGGCGTTGGAGAAGACGGCTACGGCTTCGAAGTCGTTAGCCCAGGTTGAGGAGTGGCTGTTTGTCTCCTGGGTGTTTCAGCACCGGCAGATTTTTGCGCTGGCGTGCGGGTATCTGCAGGGGAATCTGACGGGCAGGTTTTGTTCCGAATTGCCGATTCCACAGCGAGTATCCAGTATGTTTTAGGTCTTTGTGGTAAGGTTTGTAGGGCAGCGCTGACACAGCTAGATGCGATTGATCGTGCGCGGGAGGATGCTATAAGCAGGATCCTCGACAGGGTGCATGGTCGGGTGGATGTGTTGCGCTCGGGCAAGGTGCAGTGTTCGTATGAGTGCGACTGTGTGCTTCTCGGGGCACTCACGAGGCACATGCGTCAGCTGGGGATCCTGGAGAGACCGGCGCCGCCGTTTGAGGGGATCGCGGTCGAGCAGCTAGCGAAGGAAGCGCCGGGGGTGGTGGTGCCGCGGTGGTACGAGCGCGGCGGCGAGATCCAGCATTCGTGTTTGGCGACGCTGGATTTCAATTCTTCGCTGAGAGGTTCTGGGGATGCGCCGAAGGTTGTGGATTTGGAGGAGTTGACTGAGTTGAGGAGGAAGTGACTGTTACCCTGCTGTGTAGATATACGAACGTTATCCTATCATCATGTCTATATGCAAATTACAATGTAATCTGAAACCGCGGATGCGTGCGTATCCTCGCCCCAAACTTCCAAAACAGCATCGGACACAAGCACATCGCTAGCGCAATAAACGCCAGCACCGAATTCCCCCACCCCAGCCCCAGCGACTCATACATCGACGGTCCCGCCAGCGGGAGCACTGCACCGATCAACGACCGCAGGACCGTATTCGCGGCCGTCACTGAGGCCGCATGCGTGAGATAGGAGTCGACCAGGTAGCTGCTCGCCGGCATGAAGACGGTCACGAGTCCGATGGCAAACACACCCGTCCCGAGAATTGGCACGATCCAGTGCACCTCTGCCTCGGCGGACCAGCCGTACCAGAATAGCCCCGCCGGGACGAACCAGCACCCGACCAGCATGGGTGGGAGCCGGGACTCGGGGGTGAAGCAGCCGCGGGCGGAGTGGGCGGCGGCGATACGGTTGGCCGCGACGCCGTAGATGACGATGCCGATGACGCAGCCGATGCCGAAGCCCAGGTAGGCGAGGCCGGCCAGGCCGGGGGAGAAGCCGTACTTAGTTTCGAAGATGGAGCTGATGGTGGTGAACATGAGGTAGAGGTAGCCGTAGGGGATGGCGCCGAAGAGGGTCATGAGGAAGACGATGGGCGAGCGGGTGAGCAGCTTGATGGGGCGGGCGAGGGTGACCAGGAAGGTCCGTTTCGTGGGCCGCGTGCTGTCGTGGATCGAGTAGAGCGCTGGGTTGTTGGTTTCCTTACGCAGGAAAGCAGCTTTGCGGCGTAGGAGGACGGGGGTGTAGGATTCGCGGTAGAGCAACATGCAGCTGCCGGTCACGACCGCGGTCTAGAACAAGATTCGTTAGCACAGATAGCCGTCAAGAGGAAGAGAACAAACATACCGCGATAGCAATCACCCAAAACACCCAGCGCCATCCCTCCGCTTCGGCCAGAAATCCTCCTGCCGCCGGCCCAATCACCGGTCCTAGGATAGGCCCCAGAGCCCAGATAGCTATAATGCCAGCCCGTTTCTCCTTGGGAACCATATCCGCCACCGTCCCCGAACCAATGGTCAATGGACACACCCCGGCAACGCCCGCCAGCAGCCGGAAGACGATCAACTGCGGCAGGCTCTGCGCCACAGCACAGGCGATGGTGAATATGAGGAAGAGGATGTTGCAGGCGTGGTAGAGAGGAACACGGCCGTACATTTCCGACAGAGGAGCGATCACGAAAGGGCCAACCATGTATCCAAGCACGAAAACGGAGACGACGAAGGAGGCGAGCATGTCGTTGGTGGAGTGGAATTCACGCATCACCTCCGCGACTCCAGGAGCAAACATGGTCGAGGCCAGGGGACTGCATTATCTCAGCTGTGCATCGGATGGATTTGCCAGGGAAAAGGACTCACGTTATGAAGGTATTGACTGCCATCAACACCACTTGGAGCGCTTTCTTCTTGACCGGCCAGTTGAAGGGATTGTTGGTATCATCGTTGCCGTCCCAACTGACCAGATTCGGGTCTTTCTGGAGGAGATCATGTTGATCTTCTGAAGGAGAGAGCGCTGCCTGCTCTGGGGGCGCTGCGATGTTTCTATCCCCGCCCTTTTCCAGGTCAGTGAATTCGCTGGGAGGGGAATCCTGCATAGCGGTGTTTGGATGTTACTCCTTTGATTCTCCAGCTGGAGGATATGGCCAAGCAACATTGTACCAGAGGCAAGCTCTAAATAAATACTGCGACTGCCCCCCTGAAAGGTGAAGGACAATCAATAATGCTCGTCTCGATACGTCACATTCGTCCGCTTCGGGATAGCGTGATAACTTTTTCCGTCCTCACATAGTGCAATCATCGAATATCCTGATTTATCATTCCAGCTTTCAAGGATATTCGCAGCTGGGATAGTTTTCCGGCCAAAAACCCAATCATCTGTCGCGTTATGACTCCATCGTGGTTCGGCCACTACGAAGCCCTGTAAAGCTTTGACCGGCGGGAATAGCCATTTATCTGTCTTTCATGTCTTGACTTCATAGTTGGCCGGTGCTGGCAAGTCTAGACAAGTGCCAGGTTACTCCTGACTTCGTTTATACTGAGATTGTGTCTTTCCGGCTCCTCTTTCAGCTCTACGATCGATCCAGAAATGCATCTAGTCGGCCTACTCGGCGCGTGTGATCTGTCTAACCCCTGAATCCCCTTGCTTTGACTAGAATGGTAATCAGGATACGGTGAGAAAGTAATGAAATGAAATGACCTATCACCTACCCCATCCGCCAAGCCAAACATCGGACAGCCCCAACGAGTCCCACGAGTCCCTCTCCGAAGAAAGCGCTGATGGACGAGATCAAGAGAGCAGCCCAACCCAGAATCTGGGACGACTCGAGGAGATTGTATGGCCAAAGATCTCGCGCATGCTTAGCGGGGAACTTATGCAATCCGATATAAATGACGTAGAGAGCAAATGAGTGCTGCAAAGCTTTGCACCTACGTGGAGGCCAGGTTCTGCATGGTCATTTCACCTTCTATGATGAATTTGAAGCAGGTTCGCACCATCTGCGCAGCCGCTCTGAGGACTAGCAATTGCTCATCCTCGTCGAACCTGCTAGTGCCGACAAAAACAAAATCCAACCAGGACGCACTTACTGCGGGTTTCCCAGGTGGATAACTTCTCATTCGTGATCATCGATGCATCACGCAGGATCATGCACCAGACACACTGGATCGGAGCCAAGCTCGTTAGCTGGCGTTTTTCGAACACCTTTGCGATCTGCAGCCCCTTCGAGCTGCTTTTTGGTCAGCGAAGCACATCTCAGGCAGTGTTCAACAAGTATGCACCCCAGATAGCCCTGCTGCAGGACGCGCTGCTCCCCTTCATCGCGCAAGAACTAGAATCCTGACCTAGTCTCGATCCTCTCTTCATCATCAACGTGATCTGTTCTCAGAGACTGTCTAAAGGACCACGATTACCATGTCATAGAGATTTGTTCAAAGTAGTCATGTTCACCGAAAAAGACCGAGCCTCTGCCTCGCTATGGAGATATGGAGACCGGATGCACCTATAAATCCCTGCAGCCGCATGGTGCTTTAGGCGACCTCCGTATTATTGATCTTGTATAGAATAGTGGTATGAAGAAGCTCGGATGACTAGCAGTCTAAGATTCGATGCAAACTGAGCAAACCGAGCAAACTAGGCGACTGTTGACATTCTGGCAATTTCTCCATCTGTTTGCTTCACATTACACTAGTTAACTAGGAGTAAGCAGCACTTTGTCAGCACTATAAAATGGCGTGATTGTCAGTAAAGAATTTGTGCCCTGTAAATAACTGCTCTGGTCCCTGCTCCTCATATATTCATAGATTCACCGCCGAGTAACAAAATGGAATCTATTCTATCTGCACATGAAATCGGTGAAGGACTTCCTGTTTTGTTCATTCATGGATGGCAGATGGAGGCAAGAGTCGAGCAGCGGGACTTGGAGCCGATTTTCAACAAAATACCGGGATTTCGCCGGATTTACGTGGACCTTCCAGGCATGGGCACAACACCCGCGAATAATGTCAAGGATCTGGACGATATATACCTTCGCCTGGTGCAATTCATTGATTCTCGACTTGGGAGGTCAAGATTCTTACTTGTTGGCTCATCATGTGGCGGCTACCTTGCACGAGCGATAGCTCAAAAATATATTGAGCAAGTCGATGGCCTGCTATTACGCGTACCGCTTATTGAGCCAAAGGACAGCATGCGCGATCTCGATGCTTTCAAACCTTTGGTTGCAAACGAGCAACTCATGTCAACTATACCAGCCGAAGACAGGACACTTCTTGGAAACGTTCTCGTTCAAACGACTGCTTACGTTAAAGCTTTAAAGGCAAAATACGAAGAGGTTTTCCTTCCGGCGGAGAAAGCAGCAGATAATAAGGTGTTAGATCCGATCCGAGCAGATCCACATCGATATCAGCTATCTTTTCCGTTGGACAATGAAGGTGCTAAATTCTTTGCACCCACCCTTATTGTATGTGGTCGGCAAGACGAGAGCGTGGGCTATCGAGACAGCCTTCGCTTGCTGGAGCTCTATCCACGATCAACCTATGTTGTTCTGGATCGTGGTACGCATGGCCTTCCTATCGATGAGAGTGAGGCTAGTGTTTTTGAAGCTCTGGTTCGTGATTGGATAATCCGGGTTGATGAATGGCGAGATCGCACAGACAGATAAGAGCTATCCATATGAACAGACAGTCTTTATACCAACTCTAGTACCTAAAAAGAAAGCGGGCGGTGGGATGAATGATACTTATTACGTGTAATGGAGTACCTCTTAAGAGGAATAGCTATCGTTGCGAACATCCTCTAGGTGCGGAGAGCCTAACCAGTTAGTAACCAGTTAATAAGAATATATATATAAAAGTTTAAAAAGCATTACAGAGCATAAAATAAATTAAATAAGTAGGAGTAGGCTGACCCACTGTTGGTTACCCAAACTCCTCCGAAGGGTGAGGTCACCTGCGACCTGTTAAGCACCGTTGCCCCATTTCCGAAAGCGGTGCAATACCATTAAACTTTAGGGTAGCAGAAGGCTGATCGCAGATGACTTTCTTGTAGACTTGGCTAATACCCAAGATTCATGCTGGTTATGCCTCAATATATATCAAACATCCATCCCTTTGATGCACAATAATCTTTGAAAAACACCCGTCCCCAGGAATAATTGTTTTCTGCTTGGTACATCACCTTTTGCCTGTCAGCGTGGGATCAGAAAGTCAGACTACGATGGTAAGTTCACTTTCTTATGAGATATCTGCATCTCAAGAAGAGTCCCTAATGGCCTTGTGACTTCATGCAGAGCACACCAACTGTCTACATGATTAGGCATGGTGAAAAGCCACGTGGTGGCGCGCCTAATCTCTCTGCTCAGGGAGAAGCAAGAGCGCAGCGCCTTCGTAAAGTCTTTGGAAAGGAAGGGGGGTTTAATATTGGCTATATCATTGCCGAACACCCTAGAAAAGGTTTGAGCTACTCCTTCCACCTTTGGTTCTCCTCTTTGACTATCTCTACCCACTACGTAGCCCTCGCCTTCTTCGGAATCGAATGTTCTGTGGATTATGTCAAGCTAACAGAAGTATCTAGATGGTTCCCGGGCACGCTCGTATGAAACTGTGCAGCCTCTAGCCAACGATTTGAAGGATTTAGGCGTGGAATTCAACACAGATATCAAGAAACACGACGCTGTAGGTGTCGCTAGGGCAGTGAAAGAATATCATGGAACAGGGAATGTCCTTATTTGCTGGGAACATCATAACCTTTCTGATATCGCAGAAGCCATTGGCATAAAAGAATTTGCTAAGACTAGTGGCTGGTCTGGCAAGCTAGAATATCCAGACTCACGTTTTGACCTTATTTGGGTCGCACCAACCCCTTACAATGAGATAACTGAAGTGCTTAGCGAGGATAATCTCTAATAAATGCAGCCACTATTAATCTGGAGGCAATGAGCTAATATATCTTGAAATGATTCTGTTCTTCATGGATAATTTGAAGAAACAGATTGATGAATGCGTGATATTTCCTGATCATGTTATAGCAATTCGAGTAAAGGTAACATAACCTCGCTAAAATCCTTCTGTAAAGTGAAGTAGAGAATCGACTTTCAAGGCAAACACTGTAATCTAGTGAACTATTCCTTCACCACTACACCCTGTGTCTGTTTCCCTGTCTCTCTCCATTCTTTTTGTTTGCTTCAAAGCAGAGAAAAGACTGGATGGCGGAAGGAGCCGTTTCACACGTGAATTCTGCAGACCTGATACAACAGATATTCGGAGCTTAAAACATCCTCCATTTGCCGCCCTGCTTAACGAGTTTGCTCATTGATGACCTTTGTGCTGCCGAAGCGTTCAGCTAAATAGCTAAGCAGACTCCATCTTTATAGATCTAGTCATCCACCATAAGGGCTGAGTCAATGTAATAAGCACCACTAAGGTCTTTGTCCTCAAGCAGTTAGGATGCGTAGAGTATTGTGGTCTGGCATGCCCTACACTCAAGTCTTTAGTGGCTTTATGTTAATGACCCAGCGGACCATTTTTATGTTAGGTTATTAGCGCATTCTTACACCTCAAAATCCGAGGGGGCTACACTAAAGGGGACGCCTTAAGCTCCCGGTGGGGACAGCCTTGACTAACCGCGTCGTTCGGCGTAGCACAGATGATTGCCGGTTGATTCACAGCTGGGTAGGGACCGCCAGTAAGGCTCTATAGGTTTACGAGCCGAGTTGTGACGATAACAATCAGCTAGGTGCTGGTTCAAGCCATGTAACTAGATTTAAGCCCCTAATTGTCGATATTATATCGACACGTCCTGAGCTGGCATTTATAAGCAAGGTTAAGATTCTCGTCTTCCGTTCCAGGACCTTCCAGATTACGCCGTCCGGAAGAAGAATCCCGCAAGGAAGAAAAGAGAGAGCGGGCTGCGGGACTTGCGGGTTCCGAGAGATGTTTATTAAAGAGCACGCTGAAACTCTGAACATGGCACTCTATGCCTGATCAACAAGATTAAGTCGCTTTCAACACTTGAACACGATGACATCAGAGACCCCAACCAGCGGATTTAGACTGACGCATGTCGGCCTTCGTGTTACAGATATTGACAGATCTGTTGCGTTCTACACGGGTGTTTTTGGCATGAAGGAATTGGGCCGCATGGCATTGGACACAACCACGGTTGTATTCCTCGGGTATCCTGATGCAGCGAACCCACAGACGCATCTGTTTGCTAGGGAAGGTGTACTGGAACTAGTATGTCCAAAGGTAATGATAATTCATCAAGAGTCTCGTCTGCTGCCAGCAAGACTGTGGCTGACCTTGTCTTCAGAAGTCCCAGAAAAGCATGGCCGACTCAAGTGATTATCCGGATTTCCGATTCGTCAAGCTGGCAATCGGCGTTCCTGACATGGCAAAGGCCATGGACTATATCAGAAGTCATAACGTTAAAATACTCAAAGAAGCTGGAGTGGCTCAGGGTTCAGAAGTGGTGGCTACGTTTTTGGGTTGCGATACGCCCGACAAGGGATTTGACAGGCCTTTGTGGGAAGCCGCATTGGCCGTCCCTTTTGTGGAAGACCCAGATGGATACCTCATTGAAATAATCCCATATTGAGCTATGTTCTGGGTTACTATTTGCAGCACTATCGTACAACAGCCCTCTAGCATTTTGCATTGAATATATGGAACTCGTCGCCTTACGAAACATGCGAATGCCCTGACCGTGACCTCATTCCTATTTAAGCTAGCAGGGATGAGAAGAGACTTACAAGCCACACAAATATTACAGCTTGGGTAGGCTGGCAACACAGATCAATGCCCCTTTCATTAGGTGTAGCGTTTCCTTTTCGGCCCAAAGCAAAGGCGAGCCTTCTCAAGACATACAATGCTGAATGGAGATAGCAGAGGAGACTATAATTCAGTCAGGAGACCGGACCATGATGGAAGCTTCCTTGAATTCCTCAAGGATACTATGCCTCCCCATGTATGTTTGCTCAGCATTTACATAGAAAATACTTCTACTTAACCCATTGACTTCATAAACTTTACTAGAGCTCTCATTATTTTTTGATCTTGCCCTCCCTTCATTAATCAGACATTCTCCAGTATCTCAGTGAGAAATCAAAGATACTCCCAGCGCATGCTCTTATTTTTTATTTATGGGCACAGCTACGCATGTTCTTCTTTCTTCTTTTGGCTGACTATATGGATATGCTAGCCGCGTTACATTCTAAACGACTTGCCCATATGATATCGTCAACAAAACCATGCCCGATGGACAACAGGTATGGGCAAGAATTCAAGAAGTAGTTACATGTAACCTTTAACCACACTCTAGTCTTGGATTACTCTGGTGTTCGCACCTAATGTCAATACTTCATTTGCGATCCTTGGAAAAAGCAACTTCAGCAGTCCAAGCATGATGAAACGGCGGGGCACAAAGCGGCTTCTAGTTCCCATATCAAGGTATGCTAGATTTTTCTATCCTGAAGATTGCAGATAACGCTAATAAAGATTAGTATAGAAACCTCCGAGTCCCAGTCGGAAACGTGCTCTGCGCGCCTGGCACTGGCGCTCCCATCGGGACACAATCATCAGCCCTGGGGGGACTGTTTTGAATTCGATGACCAGCAGATAGATTCTAAGAGTAACCAATACCGAACAGGAGAGCACCTAAAATCCATACCGGATACGTTATAGTAACTATCCTAGTAATGGCTGGATTTGGGCAAAGAGCTCCTGGGCGAGGTCCAGTCCTGGATAATTCATTAATGCAATTTATTAATTACTTCCTATATCATAAAAAGAAAGTATGACTGACCCAACTGTTCCTTGTGCGGACTCGATTCCAAAACGTAGCCCAGAGGCCTCGCACTCCGGTCCCGCTCGTAGTTAGATTATTTTGCTTATACTATGGCAAGATGCTGGAGAATCTCGCTGGGTCTGATTCGTAATTGTGGAATTTTGCTAGTAGCTGTGATGAGGTTCTAAAAGCTTAATGCTTTTGAGGTGAGCCCTGTTAGTATAATGATGCTGGGTCTATTACAATCAGATCATGGCTGCAGCAAATTACTGGTTGCTAGATAGTGGCTTACAATACTAGCATTGTTACTGATTATCCTGCTTAATCCTTCTCGAGGGAATACGGATTCAGACATGGTGTCCCATGGCTTGCAAAGGTGATCATCTTGGTAATGGCGAGTTGTATATGTATGATTACCACTTCACTCTGTAACTGCCGTCATGGAAGGCCATCAAAGTGGCATTACATTACATTTGATTTTCTTCGTCCTTAATCTGCCCAAATAGATGATCATAGATGATGATTTTACATTACGTCTTTACAAAATTCTACCTAATCATTATATAGAATGGAAGATGTCATAATGACGGAAGCGGCCCAACCCCAACTCTTCGCTATGTTATATCAGCTATCTAGAGCGCCTAGTATCTATATATGCTAGAAACTCAAGAGAGCTTTCAATCCAAGTTCACTAATATCCTTATCGCATTGAAGATCCTCATTTTGAATACACCGAATCTCCAGTATGCCTAAAGTATATTTCGACCACGACCCTATAACCCTACAAGAGGGAGACCACGTCGGTGCTCGGGTCGGCGGCAAAATACTTGAGCCCGATGGAATGGAAACTGTTACTGGAGAAGTTGACCGGGTCACCATTTTTAGATCTCCAGATTCCACTGTTGAGCTCAAGTGTATGCAAGATGTTCATTTTTTGCCTGGGGAACAAGTTATCTTACAGCAGCTTGGTAAGCTTTCCATGATAGACACAAGTGAACAATTTATTGACTAGTACCACAGATCCTGTTAGTTATGCTGCTATAGGCATGAGAAGTGGAAAGGAAGTTGAGTTTAAAGAGTAAAACAGTTTATGTTGTGTTTAAAATAATTTTGCCATTATGTATTGTGGCTGCGATCAGAAGTAAGGTAAAATTGGCTCTGGATCAGGGACTTTGTCATTAAAATGTTTTTAAAAAATGAGTACGGCTCTGTTATATCCCAAACGTAGCTGTGCATGGGCCATAACTTGTTGAGCTCGAGCATTCTGGTAGAGGAGCATATCCGTGTGCCTCAATACCAGTATGGTAATTTCTGTCGGCGTTGGCGTTTTCTTTTTCGGAAGCTTGGGGATACTACGCCAAAAGCATTTCCTAGCCAGGGCAGAGATAGAGGCGTGCCAGTGAACCAAACAGGCTCTTTGAATTTCGCAAAGTCATTCTGCAGTCCGCAGATTTCCATCCTAATATGACCCTGTCAGTCCTGGGAAACTTACCTGGAGCTTGAGATCCCGACAGACCAGTTGACTTTTGTGCAGACAAGGAACGCCCTGTAGAAGTTAGAAACAGATTTGCCGTGCTTCAAGTTCTGGTAATGGGCGGGGCAGATGGTCTTGAAAATTCCCTTAATGAATATGGTCCATGGCAATAAAGATGGATTTCTGACTCTCGAACTACCCGAAGCACTCTGCAAACAATCACGAATACTGATCGATATCAACGTCCACAGAATGAATCGATTCGGGCATAGTACTACTTTCAATTTCCTGAAGAACTAGCTGGACATCGTTGCGTTGTGCGAATGAATCCGATTCGTCGATGATATTATTCTCAACGGTGACGGTCTTAGAGTTCTCGTCAGCTCAAGGTCCATGGAGTTAAGAACCCGCGCGTCATAGACGCAACTGTCATGCCTGTGATCCCAGATTGTCGCATTCAGAATGCGGTATATATGGTCGGTGAGAAGGTTGGTGATCTCCCTAATAAACGTCGTACACCACTGACTCATCTGATTATCGTAGGGAGCGATCTGATTAAGGCCGATTACCAGGTCCTCTACACATTGTCCAAGTAAAAGGTAAGAACAGGGTAGAAAGTGATTGATGTCGAAATGGAGAGGTCCAGCCTGAAAAGGAGATCTTTATCTCTTGCACGAAACTCTAACTTTATACATGTAGTTTCAAATGTAAAGCAAGGACTTCTGGATTTTCTTCTGCGGTTATTTTTACTATTTTAGTATAGTTGCCTGATATGCTATCTTATAAACTCCGCCCTTACTGTGACCTTAAGTATATGAGTCCTGACGGCTATCGATACTTGACCAGGAAAGATGTTTGACGTGAGAAAATTTTCCCGGCCAGTATGGACATGCTAAGGGCTTGCCTGTACTACCCGATCATATCATGCTTACAGCTGTGAGGGCGGGAGGCTTATACATATTTGGCAATGCACTCTGCTGACCTAGTCCAGGACGTTGTATTTAGTCTGGAGATCGGGGAATTCTGCTAGCTGTCAATTTCCTCCTCACTAATATCTGACGCGCAACTCCCAGTTTCCAGATGGATTACCATTACCATTCCAGGAAAGATTCGAAGTTCTGATAACCGCGTTAGCATCCCAGGTTTCGAGGCTGAATATAATCCTTGGCCCCTGTTAGATTGAGATTCTAGAATGCATGATTGATCGTCGATGGTTTGATCTCACCACGCCTTTGTCTAAAAAATACAGTTCTAAGGGAGGCATCATGGGCGTTCGCGTGCAAAAATAGGTCTCTATTGCGAAGCTAACATGTCAAGACTGGCAAGTCTCGGTGCTATTGTTGTTACGGTAGCTTGCCCTCTTCATAACTGCACAACGCCAGCCAATTCGCCCTCGTTTCTACATCGCCTTCATCCCAAGGACACATGTCCTTGACCACAGTCCAATGTGCCATTCGGCGCGCGCACAGTTTTACGAGTATTATCATGGTCAAGTTCATACGGCGGAAAATGAGATAGATAATCCTGAAGTGCCATCGAATACATATTGACTGCGATGCTGAGTTAAGTTTGCATGTATGCAGATGATTCAGAAAGGTGAAGCACGTTCGCTAAGATTGACAAATATATCAGGAATTGGTTTGGTCAGCCCACCGTCATCCCACCATTGATCCTGATCGTCTGTCCATTCACCCACTGGCTCTGATCGCTGGCAATGAAACAGACAACATTCGCAACTTCCTCTGGCTTCCCCAGTCGTCCCATAGGGGCCAGGTTACTCTGAAGCTGCACCATCTGCTCCGTCTTCCCCACAAAATATGCGTCGGTCCCAATAGGCCCGGGCGCAATGGTGTTCACGGTGATCCCCCTTCTCCCCAGATCCTTTGCCAGGACACGCGTGATCTGCTCGATCGCCCCCTTACTCGCTGTATAAAGAAGATAATTTGGGGTAACACCGCTGAACGCCGCCAACGACGTCGAGAAGAGCATCACCCGCCCACCATCCGCGAGATGCGGAACAGCCTCCTGCACGGTGAACAAGGGACTGCGCACATTCGCAGCGAACAGTTTGTCGAAGTCTTCCTCGGTGATACTGAGCAGATCCCCCTTTTGCCAGAGCAGGCCTGCATTGAGGACGAGGATATCGATTTTGCCGAATCGGTCGACTGTCGTCTTGATCAAGCGCGTGATGTCTTCGCGCTTGGATACATCCGCTTGGACGGCGATTGCTTGGTCAGACCCGATCTCGGATACGACTTCATCTGCGGCTGCAGCGGAGGAGACATAGTTCACGACGACGTTGGCGCCATCCTTGGCGAGGGCGAGAGCCGTTGCGCGTCCGATGCCTCGAGATGCACCAGTGACGAGGGCAACTTTACCGGAGAGTGGAGACATTTCGATTGACGGCGGAATATTTCGAGCTTGGTAGATGTATGAAATGGGACAGTAAACCTCAAGTGCTTGGTGGATTCAGAAGGTTTATGTAGACACTGTTCTCTATCATATTCACTGCGTTTCTGGTGTGCCGTTTCCAAGCGCCGGAGCTAGCGGCCGATCCCTGCGGATTTAGCGGCCAATAAAACAAGCGGCTGCTTACTGCTTCTGTCAAGGTCACCATAGCATGCACAGCAACTTCCATAAAGGGATGCGGGGAAGCTAATCAACCTCAACTGATCTTCTTATCTCCGCTCAGACTTGGCTCAGGCTGCAAGGATGGAGCTGAGCTGACACAAAGCACAACGCTAGATGAGAGTTTTATTTCCTGATGCTAGTGCGTTTCCGGAAGATTTTGCGGCGCTAAGCAAACATGATGATTGAACTATGAATGGTACGATTTCACTGATAACCAACAATGCGATGTGTGCTGCCAAAAACCCAGGAAAAAGATATGCCACTGTCGAAGACGGTGCTCCATGTTCCTTTCCTGATAGATGATATCATCGTAAATGAGTGAGGTTGGAAAGAGCGGTATCTTGGAGATGGATGGACTATGTCAGAGGCCATGTGGAGAGGGAATGTTCTGTCACGCCACATCCCAGCCCTGGCCACCAACAGCACAACACTGACAGGCAACACATTGAATTGGACTAGAAGACACTGAGAATTCCCTAATCTCTGTTGGCTTTCAGAAGTTCAAATGAATGGAACAAGAGCCACAGCAATCTGTGGGATGCCTAAAAAACGCTACAAGAGACTATGGGTCTGCAAAGCCGGGTGCAAAATTTGAAAGGCCAGTTGGAGCTCTAGAACAAAGCACAGGTGGTGATGGTTAAGTTCCCAAGTAACGCTGCACCTCCAACTTCCTTGATGGCTCACCAGGACATATTAGCAGGCTCCGGCACTTCGACCCAGGCGCTGAATTTGCTGCCGAATCTTGAAGCACCGTACCAGGCGAGATGAGGTGATGACTATGGCGATTGTAATGCTTCTCTGTTGAATACTGGGGTTTTGTTTATATTACAGACAGGCGTAAGTGCGGCTAGGCCAGTAATCCAAATCTATGATCAATGACTTTCTTTGGGAGTATTTTATTCATTGCTTTCTTTCGTATCCAACACTTCTCCTCTTACCAAGGTATCTGGTTCTGAACGGAATGTTGCATATTACGGTCAAGGTGCGCAGCTTCATTCCAGACAAGCCTCTTAATATAGTAATCTAGTTCAATATCAGCAATGGCTACCGCAAACTTGTATAGCCTATACCTGCGAGGATCCAGTAGTGCCTAGCACGTTCCAATGCTAGCTTGAAAGGTAGACTATCAACATGCGACTCCTCAGGGTCTGCTTGTTTCAACCAAACCGCTGTAAGAGCTGTCTCGCCAATGCACATGACAGCTGGTAGCGGGACCCTGGCGATCTCTTCTCTGGTCTTGAGTGCATTCAGTTGTAAGCAAATGTCACGGACCATGGTAATGACGGAAGATAGGGCGGCCATGGACAGAGGGGCTCTGTGCAGTATATCCGGAGGCTGTGCTATGACGCTTAGAGCTCCGTATCCCACTTGACTCCGGTGGAGAGTAAGAGCAGCCCTGATTTTCGTGATTTAGCCTTAGGACTCAGCAAACATGGAGACGTGTAGACTTTGGTGCATACATCAGGGCAATTGCAGTGGCGCCAAGATAAGCTTCCCAGCCAACGCTTTGCTCGAACAGTCGCTGCATCAACTGCATCAAATTGCTGTCTATCAGATGAAAATGTTGTTGAAACGAATCCAGTCGCGCTAAATTCTGCAGCATCTGCACGTTTCCTAGAATTCTAACCGCTTGGATCTCGCGAGTGTAATAAGACAATGGAACATTAAGTGAGGTTTTGAAAGACGGAAATGCTTTGTTTGGCTTGTGTTCGCTTTCCTGGTCGCCAATTGGAAGCGGGAAGTCATCGTCTGGCTCTTCAACCGCATGCGGTGCCACTATATCTGGCATAATCTGGTAAACAAGGCTTAATAGTGTTAGTCAGTCTTCCCACCAATCCAAGCGGTGATTTGCTTCTACTGACCGGTCCATCATGTACAACCCAGTCCAGACTCTTCTCCGCTCTTCCGCATGACACCACGCACCAGAGCAGTCGTCCACGAAGGATTCATCAACATGTAGTCCAAGTATATACGCAAGCCTAGCACATGTTGCTACTCTCAAGAACGCGGCTTCCAAGAAGCCAGATCCCAACTCATATAGGATGAGTAGCAAGCATGCTTGTACCATTTCCAAGGATGGTCCACGCACCAGTAGCAAAGACGAGACCAGATAGCTGCAATGTTGGTAAAGATGTTGCTGGCCTTCCCTCTGGTTGCTACTATCGTCCCATTCGTTCTCCATGAGAAGATACATTGCCAGTAAGAGAAGCGCCAGTTCCGCCGAACGGCTACTATGAATTTGTGATATTCGTGCTCGGAACTTCTGCTCCGGGATAACGGGCAACCACCGATGAATATTCCTGAAGTAAACACATAGAATAGCGTCTACTGACACGCTTCGCTCAGATAAAGCGGTCATCACCAAGTCGACGAAGAATCGGTCGATACCAAGGCTCGGGGAGTCGGTATTCTGTCTGTAGGTTTGCACGGGCAGAAATGTGCCAGGGAGCCATTGCTGACCTGATACCACCGGGACATGAAAGAGTAGAAAGTCCGATAAAGACTTGTATTGGTGGCAGGCTTGGTCTTCCCCAGGATACCAGTCATAGTTGCATTTTAATTCCAACCTTGCGACAAGAGCAATGTGAGCCTATCGACCAATATACCTCACTGGGACAGGGGCTCATACTTCGTACACCGAGTGCAATTGGGCAACCTCTTGTCGCATTTGCGCTTCTGCGATCGACACAATTTGCAGACATTCATCGCATGGGATTTGCGGATCTCAACCACGTCAGACACCTCGTTCATCATGACAACTCCACCCTGCACAACAGCGGGGAGCAATAGAGAGGGAGGTGTCGCGAATACCAGACACAGACACCGAGAGAGTATCGCGTACGACAATATATACCTGTTCTCCAGACTCTTGAGCGTAAGTTCCTCACCAGCTGAAGTAATGGGGTCCCACATTTTTCGTTCTTTTTTCCGTCTTCCCCCCCTTTTTCAGTACTTCAGTTCTCAGATGCCACGGTGTGCCGGAAATCAACTCAGGCCGTTTCAGCACCTCTGCCGCCGGCTGAGGATGAGTTAACGCCCTGCGTACCACGCAAGGCACCATAATTCCCCGGAGATTGTGGCTGGCTGATCTGTACGAGTTACATCTGATGGTCCCGTTCCTTGTGACTCTTCATTATGTCCGCCAGCTGATGAGCTGAGTTAACATAATCCGAAGTCGTCCAGCTATCGACCGTGGCAAGCAAGCAGCCACCTACGGCATCAGGTATAAAATACGAAATTGATAATGGTGAAATCTCAACAAGACCACTCCATGAGGTGCATATTCTACGGTGTGGACCAATATAATGTTTCGGGCAGGAACTATATCGAAGCTGCGCTTAATGCTCACTAGTTGTGGGTCTATGAAGGTCATGTCAGGGCCCACCCTGTCATGCTGAATAAGCATCAGCCTGTCAAACCCTAACGCCGCAAAAATTTCCTCTTTTGGGCAATGGTCAAACGGCGGAGTGTAGAGTCAGGTACATCCTGGCCATGTGCCCGTTCCTTGACAGACTCAGCGGGTAGGCTTATGCCGGAGATAAGCAGATTCGCCGATGAATCGTAACATATGCCATTCTATTGGGTAAAAAAGTCATCACCAGGCCAGTAAGTGCTTGTGGTCATGATCCCTGCAGTTTCGCTTGGTAGAACCAAGTATGTATATCCATATGGATAACCAACATTACCAATGTTTAACCAGAACTGTTGCATGTCTAGAGTCACCGCGCAGGAGTAATAACATAGTCTGCTTATTAGAAATTTCATTGCAATTATAATCTACCTACTTCAGGTACGTTCACCACATTAACACTCTCATGATAATTGATAGAAAGACTGTTTAGTCTTTGTGATGAGACTCTTTGCCAAACTTTCTCCGCAGCTGTGTCCCCATGTCGATGGATATAGAAGAAGTTTTCAAGGAGCAATCGCACGTCCCTAAAATCAACAAGGCCGAGGTTTGATGAAACGCTGCCCAGATGAGCGCAGTACCAGACGTAGTGCTCGGAGCACTGTCTGGCCGCCAAAGCACCGACATAAAGAATCCAGAAGAGTAGGTCGGGTGCAGTCGAAAGAAAGGTGTCAAGTCTAGGAACGAGGCTCTCCCTGAGTCTGGCGGCGACCTCGTCCATGCAAGGGAATGCGCCAAATTTGCAATAGCGCGTCATGGAGTACGCGAGCATTGAGCGGCGGAGCGATTCTCTGATGTCGCCAGGGCCGAGGTGCTCGTAAGACAACGAGAGGAGATAACGCTGCGATAGGTTCCAAGGGTCATTATCCCCGTACGTGGCGATCCTCTTGCCCCCCCGTCGCTGCTCATCGGTCTCGTAGTGCACAATAAGGTTGCAGAAATTCTGAATCGCGGCTTTGAGAGACCGGTCAAGTAGCCCCGCCCATGTAGAATTTCGGAACCGGGACCCCAAGTTGCAAAAGATTTTGTCACTGGGTAGACTCAAGATGTCCTCTTCCGGTGGGCTGTAGGAATGGACGGTGAGAGCTGGATGATTCATGGCGTACTCCAAATATTTCGGCGCCAATGGGAGAGCAGGAGGAGTACATTTCACAATTGCCCATAAAATATCCACACTAAAGAACCCGAGCTTCAGCATGAGATGGGTCAGTTTGAAAGCAGTGCATATATCCTTACCCCACTAGAAAGGAGATTGTGGACAGGTCCAGGCGGTCAACCCCACCGGAGGATTGAATTAACTGTTGTAGACCAGCCATGTGAATATCCATTTCCGCAATATTTGCGTTGGAGGCCTGAAAAGAAGGGATCTATCATCAGCTCAGTCCGCATATGAGCTCCAGCATCACAGAGTTGGGAATCACACCTCCACACAAACAAGCATGGCAATAGTGATGATGATCAATTCGACACTTGACGTGGCGATGTTATCGATTGTCTCCTGAATATTCTGAATAATCCTAGAACGAGACTCAAGGGCCTGCAGCATCCATTGGGGCGCATTAGGGTTATTTGTTCCGTGGTCATAATCAAGATGGAATCGGTGTGATGCAGACATCGATATCATCCCATAGAATATAGCTGGCTGAGTAGTAGCTTGTTGTCCGCACCAAATCCCCAGCATCTCGGGACGAAACGGCCAGCAGCATCTCACAGTGTGCAGCATGACTACATCGTGCACAACAGAATCAGTTCCTCACGTAACACATCCACCGCGCAACCATTGGCACACTGCAACGAGTCTACATAACACCTACAATGCTGAAAATGGGCATTGGTGCGCCCAGTGAGTGGTACCACCATCGCAGAGAATGGGTCTGGAGAGCCCGCCCTCAGGACCCGATCGCTGTCCGGAGGCGCCGAAGGTACCAGCTGAACGTTCTGTTTAATCAAGGAATGGGATCTCGGGGTTAGGTCACGGCCATCAGCCAGGCGCCGGAACTTAGTGGGGTCTTCGGGCTTAGACTCTAAGATAATGAGCCCCGTCAATGGACCAGGGCATTTCCGGCCGCGACGGAGACACTGGCCGCATTCCGGCTCTGTTTCATCGCACTAGGCGGACCGCCAGACTTAGCAAACATAGACGATACCCGTAGACGGCAAGGTGTACGGGGAGATCAAAAGATACTACGCGTGGAATAATTCATGGAATACTCCATACAGGTGGGTCAACCCATGCTTTGGGCACTTCGCTGCTTACCTTAATCCTCTTCTGGCGACAGGGCTTGCAGCCCCGACTTCTCCCAGATTCGCGAACCATGACAGGTCCGGCGATAACGCAGACAGGCCTAGATGACCGGAGACCGCTGGAAGTAGTCTAGATTTTGCATCCTTGTTGGCTGATGGCCTCTGGCCTTATCGACGGTAGTCTATCGATCGTATCTCGAAGGCGACACGTTGCTCGTTAGCGCCGCAAAACTTCCCCAAAACGGCATAAGCACATCACGTGTGGATCATTGATATCGCGATACTGCGCATTCAATCGTGACCAATCCTCTTCTCTTAGGATACCTCAGTACGAGCATACAAGATGAAGTTTCTATCTGGAATGGCCATGCTCTGTTGAGGAAGATTTTGCGGCGCTAGCTGGGCCGAGCCCGGGAAAACCGATTGATCGCTATGTCCACCATTCAATGATCTGGGCTTTTCTGCTACCTCTAAGATAGGTTTTCTCGACTTGTATGAAGAGAGCGAAGCCAAGAGGTGCACAGGTCGACTTCATAACTGACGAATATACGCATATTCTCCTCACATTGATATTATGCAGTACATGACCTCGAATTTGACAGAAAGTAAGATACATTCAGTGTCAACAGTGATCGGGATTGATAGAACAACCCATCCACGACAACGTGACTGAAAGGCCCCAACCCGACGATAAAATTGATCTAAATTTGACTGATGCTGAAGGCATGCCGAATCAACACCCTTGGTAAAGCATTGCCGACTGGTAGCGAGAAACGCCATACCTAGCCACAGTATCACAGGAAGACGATTGCCCAGATTCGATCCCCTGATGGTGAACCCGGTTACCAGTGCAATCATTCGAATCATACCAATCAGCAGTTGGGTATGGATTGCCATTGGTTTGCCTCCATAGCCAGCTGCTGCCCCAAGTGCACGTATTGCACAAATTGTACTTCACTGAAACGCACACTCCACAGCCGAAGTTGGCGATTCGGAATTGGCGCGAGGAGCAGATTCCATCTTCGAATGCCTCGAAGGCGTTTGCGCCGGCTCGCTTGGCCAAGCTCCGTTTATAAAGGGTGGTATCAGACAGGTCGAGGACTTGGCCAGGCTCAGTAATCTCGTAGAGCGGGACACGGGTCATCGGCTCCCAGCCGTCAGTGGTGTTGAGAGTAAGATATTCTAGCCACTCCTCGTGGGTAAGGCCGGGCTTTTCGACTTGGTCGGTCGGTAGGCAGAAGGCAGGTGGTACAGCCATAAGAGACATGGCCAATGCAAAGACGTTGACCCTCATGATGTGGAATTCTAGATTGAAATTGGGTCTTGATTGAGGAAGAAAAAAGTGTGAGCCTGCAAGAGCAACAGCGAGAGTAGTCAAGGCTTGGGATGAGGTCGTGTCTGAGCGTATATGCGCAGGGTCGTTGCACTCTTATATAGTGAGTTCCTCAGGGCTTTGTATTGGAGACAAGAAGAGAAGAACCTAGCGGCCGCAGTGTTTCACCATCCGCAGTGTCCAACTTGCCCCAACTATGCATTAGTTAAGTCAGCCTTCCATAGTCAATAATGGGTCGACATGATAACACATGTCTTGTTGAAGCTGCTGCAGCGGAAGGAAGGAGAGGCAAATGGTCACCAAGGATCATTTGCTCTCTAGTTCGATTGCGAGAAAAACAACCATGACTCAGCCAGCTCGCATCAAACCAATGATGCATTGCTAGATGATGTCGAATACCGTCAGCTGAGTATGTTACCATTCAGGCGGGTAGACGATTGCGGCCGCTAGTGCATTGCTAGATGATGTCAAATATCTTCAGCTGAGCATGTTACCCTTCAGCCTGCTAAACGATTGCGGCCGCTAGTGCATCGTTCTGGAAATGATGTCTGACGCTCAGTTGGTTCAGGGCTGACCGTTCGGTTGTATAAATTGCCCGAACGTCCCAAGACGATAACTCGTAATCCAGTCTCAAAGAAGTCCTTGCTCCTGACCTGGACCTCACACCCATCCTCTTCAACCTTTCAGGCTCTCCTTCCTTAGGGCTCGCCCCCCAGATCCCTCAACCTCCATCTCGTACCCTTTGATAACACGAGGCATCTACCCTCTCATCATGAAGGTCTCCATCTCAGCGTTGGCCATAATCCTGGCAGTGCAACAAGCCATTGCCATCCCCGCCGAGCAGGCCGAAAAACCCGGTCTTACCCACGAAGAGTGGCTAGAGTATTTGACTCTGAACACGACCCAAGGATGGGAGCCCATGGCGCGTGTGCCGCAGTATAACACCTCTGCCGGCGAAACCCTCGACCTCTCGACCACCACCCTATTCAAAAGGAGCCGGGAGAAACGAGGCGGCGGGAACGCCTTTGCCCCGTCTTATTATGGGGGATGTGCGACTCGGGAGTTCACCGTTAGAAACTTCGGCTGCGGTGCCTGCGTGACTGCGGCGGGTGCCGGTCCACTCAGTTGGCAGAGTAGCTGGTTGTGGAGAGAGACCACTGGGAACCCATATCCAACTGTTGAATGGTACAACGATCGTTACTGTACCGGTGCCAAAGTGCATCATCAGGGTATCTACTCGGGACAGTATTCATCTTGCGATACTGCTGGCCAAGGAAACCAAGCTTCAGTCTACCTGTCCGCTATGCTTTACCAGGGCTGTTGAGAACGCTTAATGCACGGGGGGGTGCGCTGGAACCTATGTCAAGTTGGGTGTCAGGCTAATGAAATTAATAAATGAAAGCTTATAAAACCATAAAAACGAAAGCAGAGGGCTCATAATCTCTTGAGGGACCGGAAAGACGAAGCTGCATGGATTCGTAGCTATCTGGAAGAGAGAGAGAGATACTATGAGGCTATCTAACCGAGGCAGATACCCCTCGGATTATCGTAGGTAGGGCCGTCTGCTCGCTGGCAGAACCTCTGAGAAAATCGCTCTTAAGCTGAAGAGATCCTCGTTCCTTGAGATATCGTAGCCACGACTAATTCGCCCAATCCCTGCACTGTACCTGCCTTGGCAATCGCTGTCAAAGGAAGATTTATATCGAGATAACGGCGGGACCAGTTGCGAAACTCCACAGCCATCAAGGAATCAATAGGCAGAGCAGCCACCTGCGCATATTCTTGCCCGCGGGCAAAAATCGAATATTCCTGCAGAAGCTTGACGATCTCCGTCACGATGCTTTTGTGCAGGGTTGGGTCTTTCACCAGGTCCGGATTCTTTTTAATTGCTACCAATTGCTGTTGCAGGCGCTGTACTGCGTCCATGTTCTTCGAAATTGGCCGTTTGTTGATGTCCAAATTGGCATAGACACTGAATCTTGCATCTCGCCCCCAGAGCGGGCGAACGGACGGATCGGCGAGAGATTCTGTGCTACTCATGCCCACAATGACATCGTTTCGGACGCGAAGAATGTCGTTGGATGACTCGTTCGCCAGCGTGATCGATGGCTGACACTCAAGCATGGCAATCTCAAAGGCATCAAGCACCTCCTGTTCACTGAGGAGGCGAACATGGGCTGCCTGCATCCTGTCTCGCAACTTCTGGTCCTGGATCGCTAAATGGCCTACCTCGTCCACGCCCCCCAGATTCACGACGGAGGCGGGAAGACCGGCACGGAGTCGATACTGGGCAAAGGACGTCAAAAACGCATTGGCGGAGGAGTAGTTGACCTGGCCAGCATTACCCATGACGCCGGTAACGGATCCGCAGACGACGAAAAATCGAAGGCGGCTATCGTATCCTTTTAGTGCTTCATGAAGATTCCAGGTGCCCACCACCTTGGGAGAGAGACCTTCCTTCCAGTCCGAGTGCGCCATCTCAGGGATAAAGTGGTCCTTTAAGAAGTTAGCGATCCATTGATCTGCGGGTTCTGCTGCTGGCATTGAACTTACACGAAGCACCATCGACAGCTGCAGCACGCCTCCGATGGGCTTTTTGCAGCATTGGATTGCTGCCTTGACATCGCCAAGTAAACCGACATCTCCTTGGATCATGACTACGCTGCATCCCTGTGCCTCCAATTCGCACCGGAAAGTTTGATCCTGCGCGGACTTCCCCGCTGACCTGGACAGGAACACGAAGTGACGAGCGCCGCGCTCTACCATCATGGTTGCCAGCGCTCGTCCTACTCCTCCCAGACCTCCGACTAGAAGATAGGAGACATCGCCGGACAGAACCACCTTCAACTGTGACTTGGAAATGACCACTTCGCTGCAGCCCTCTGGCATCTTTACGACAAGTTTACCCATATGGAACCCCTGTTGCATTCGTTGGAAAGCCCCCCGAACATCAGGTGCATCCACGACTTCCAGCGGCCGAACGGGGGTAATTTGGCCTTGTTCATATAGAGCCATGGCTTGGGTGACAAGTCTGATGCCACAGTTCCGTTAGTTTCATCACGCTTATAGCATACGTGTCCGTAAAACATCAACTGGGAATTCTCTACCTCGAAATAAAGCCCGGCTTCTCCCCAAGGCGAATAAGATCGACCCCGAAGAAGGCTCTGTTACCGCCAAACGCCTTCATATCGAGCGTGCCGTGCTCGAGAAAATCTCTTTTGCCGATTTCAATCATTTTGCCGAATTCTGCCACGCATTTCCAGGATGCATGCAACAGCTCCCCAGCCAGAGAGTTTAGCACGACGTCGACGCCCCGGCCTTGAGTCGCACCCATCAATGACTGCAGAAAAGAACCGTCGCGTGAGTTGAAAATCCGACGGCGCGGAATTCCCATGTTGTGGACAAGATAGTCTGCCTTTGCGTCGCTTCCTACCGTAGCGTATATCTATACATGAGCTGTTAGAGTCGACTACTTTTGACGATCTATTAGTGATTCAGATCCATAAAGGCATACCTCGGCACCGATCATCTGGCACACTTGAATAGCAGCCAGCCCGACCCCTCCGCATGCCGCGTGGATCAGTACGGACTAGACATATCAGTTGAGTTACTGCGCAGTGGGGTTGAACTTGAACATACCTGTCCCTTCTCTAGTCTTGCAATATCCATAAGACAATAGAGTGCAGTCCCAAAAACAACAGCTAGAGACGCGCCCTCTTCAAGCGACATGGATGATGACAAGGCCGCGCATCGAGAAGAGGGCACGATAGCGCGTGTGCGAAATAATCCTGGCTGGGTGACAACGACTCTGTCGCCCGGGTGTAACTGTGTAATGTTCTTGCCGCATCGTCGGACGATTCCGCTTGCCTCAATGCCCAGCTCGCCCTTGTGCGCCATAAACCCCATTGAAATCATGATATCCTGGTAAGAAGAGTTAGTGACAAGCTCTAATTTGCCGGAATATTATTTATTTCACATACGCGGAAATTGAGTCCAACATATTTTATATCTACCTCGACATCGTCCGGTCCCAGAGGCTGTGGTTCATCTTCACACCAACAAAGAGACTCCAACAACCCGTAGGCCTTAATATCAATTTTGACCGGAGTATTCGGCAAAGGGTCCTGACGAAGTCGGTCTTTCAACTGAGTCCATTGGAAACGTGGAATATATACTTGGTTCCCTTGCAATACGAATTCATATTCGGGATCACGCAAACTGGCCTGGCAATCCAGCTGCGAGAAAAACTTTTCAGTGACTGTCACCAATACCGCTGCTGCCGAAGCATGGAACTCGTCGATCTGCAATGTTCCAAAATGCAGTTCTTGCTCCTGACGGGCCGTGCGAGACACCCCAAGGACAATCGCGAAGTCGGGATTCTGGCAAGTGAGCTCGACAGATGGCATTACCCAAAGAATCTGGGGCGCGGCGGTGATGAGCGACTGGAATGACTTCCAGCTCGTCTCACTAACATCCTTGAAGAATGGCTTTTGAACGTCTAGCAGCGATACGATGCGCTGTTTGTTTGTAAACTCAGCGCCCAGGGTGCAACGCTGGGTTCGGTAGCCCATTCTCTCGAATTGTGCCTCCACATTGCAGATCCAGGCGTTATTATGGACCAGGCTCGGACAAAGAAGGTAGATGAGCTCGGTATGGTCCTCCCTGGGATACGGCAGACGGGCAGTCAGGTTGCAATAAGGGTGTTCGCCATGCGTACCCTGGATTTGATCGAATCCGACCTGCAGGAGTGTTTCCACCCATTGGTGGCGACAGGGTGATATACCGCTCAAGGATTCCACTTCTTGGTTACCCACAAGACCCTGTAAGCATTATCAGTTGCTGAATTTGAGCAAGTGGTTTGAGAAGCAGGAATTCCTTACCCTGATGTACCCCATCAGAGAACGCACTAGACCAGGTGACCATTAGATGACGGTCCAAGCGCCAAAAGTTTCCGAGATAGACAAGAAGTCACTCACCAGTATCTGGTATATGAAGCAGAAGCCGGCCTCCTGGTATAAGGAGCTTTTTAATGTTTTGAAGAGCAGTTTGCAGCTGAGAATTCGGAATCTTCGACTGGGAGAGATATCAGCAATCTGGACTGCTAATGGTTCTGGGATCAACTGAACACACATTTGACACTATAGCCAAGTCATATGTCCCCTTTCCAAAGCCCTGCTGACAGGGATCCGTAGTTATATCCAGGTTCTCGAATTTCACTTCCTTGAATTCTTTCAGGCGTTCAACTACGGTTGAGCTGATATCTTTCGTGCTCGTGTATGTGTACTTCGAGTAGAATGGGAGATTTTCGGAGTTGAGATACTCAAGAACCTGGGCGGATACCACTCCATTTCCTTCAGCGATATGAATGACCCGTACCAAGGGGTTGGAGTGCCGGAGTAGGCCGAACCATTCAGACAGATCGCTAATCGATGCAACCAAGCCTTCACACTGCCATATTTGCTTCTGTATGGCAGTCGGAACAGCCGACGGCGGGAGCGATCCGTCGACAATGTCCCTGACGGTTTCCAAGGCCCAGTTACTTAGCGAGGAAACGAATTCCAACTTTCTTGCTCGGAGCTCCTCATCCAGAGCGGTCCGCTGGCGCTGTAATGCTTCCTCCGAGCACTTGAGCCACGATGCGGCTTCAGAGACCCCCCAAAATGCTTCCCGCTGGATTTCTGCAATTTGAGTACTGATAAATTTCTGGTATTGTTCTAGCGATGGTGTTGGTGTGACAGCGGCAATCCGTCGGTGCACCTGAATAATAGACAGAGCAGAAAGTTTGGCAGTCAAAGCAAAGCCAGCTTCAGTAGACTGGGAGTAGCGTTGCGGTAGCTGTTGCTCGTTCATGAGATCAATGTCGGGGCGCCATTCTGCGTGTGATGCTAAAGGAATGTCTGCCTCGTCGGCTGTCCTCATATTGTTGTCGAGCGGGACAACCGTGACGTCTGCCATTGAAAGTACTGGCTTGATAAATGCGTCTTCCTGGTCGCTCGCCGTCAATAGAACATTTCCATTACCTAGTTCTGCTGTGTGATTGCTGATCGTCGCTTCTGCTCTCATCATTTCCTGACCTAAACCGAGCTGGACATCACCCACAAACATGGGCACATAGAGTCTGGTCATGTGCACTGCTCTGCCCTTGCATGCAGCTACGGTGAATAATTGCAGGCACTCATCGATCACCGTCGGATGGACAGCCTTGCCATCTTGGCGGCCGCGCATCGAAGCTGCAGCTACACATCTTGAAGGGTCGGCGGTGATATCTTGCATTCCTCTGAAGGTAGGTCCATAATTCAATCCCACTTTCTCCAGCATCCGATACCAAAGCTCGGATGAAACGCGTCGAGGGAAGACTTGTGGCTCACGCAGTTCAGAATCAACCTTGTTTACGCCGGATTTCGCTCGGCCAAAAGCATGTCTGATCCACTCGGTCCCGTCATACGACATTATGGCGAACTCATACCATTCGGATTCTACGTGATCGTTGACTCTGACGTGTCTTGCGGTTGTAAGAAGTTCAATAGGGTCCGACAACGGCAGGATCAACGGAGTCGGCATGGAAAGGTTTTGAATGGTGCACTCGATGTTGTTCGAGAGCTGGCGCATGGCTTCGTGAATCATGGCAATGTATCCGGCACATGGAAACACAACCTCCCCCGACACACGATGATCCAACAGCCATGGCACGTTTCTGGTGTTCAGAATGTTCCTCCATCCCGGCTCGAGATCGCTTGCCTCCAGCATTCGCGAACCCAGGAGCTCGTGATTGGGATGCGCGCGGAACCTCCAGTTACGACTCAGACGGCTTTCCTGCCAGTTTAAGCTCTTTCTGTCCCAGGGATATGCAGGCAGGTTAGTAACGATGTTCCCTTTTCCATTCACCGCCTGAAAGTCCACGGGGTGTCCATGGAGATACAGCTGGCCCGCCGTCTTTAGTAGGCAACGGGCCTGGCTCTCTGACTTGATGAGGGTCGGAAGATAGACACTGTCACTCGACTTATACGTAAAGATTTGGCGAAGTGGACCCGAAAGGACGGAATGAGGTCCAATCTCGAGGAAGATCTTTCTGCGCTCAGGACTCTCGGCCAGAGCACCATCAACCGCAGTCGAAAACAGAACAGGGAGTTCAAGGTTTTTCCGCCAATGCCCTGCATCGAGGGCAGCCGGGTCTGACACCAACTTACCGGTGACAGTGGAGTACATGGGCAGCATTGAGTCATTGTGATTGAGGAAGGGGGCGACTTGTGACTCAAAAAACGCTCCGGCAGGTCGCATGTCGGCTGTCCATTCCATTAGCCATTTGGACGTAACAAAGACGAGGAACATTAAGCTCACGCGAATGGTACGCCACGCGTACTGGAACATATCGTATAAATATGTCTGGCTTGTCGGCCCTGATCCTATCAACCACTGCGGCCAACCTTGTCTTATCCCCAGATAGGTTAACGCTCTGGAGACTATTCACGCACGCAACAACCACCCCTTCCGAGAGATAGGGCTTGACGGACGATTCACCCATACCGACGGCTACCATGCCACCTGAGGAAGGAGCATTGGACACGCTTTGTCCACGTAGGTACGCTAGGATGATAGCAGTACGCAGTGAAATGGCGTTCGCTGCATACGCCGCGATCACCTCGCCACTAGAGTGACCTACAACGGCTGACGGAGAGATTCCCCAGTCCTTGAGAAGGTTGACCAAGGCAATTTGAGTGGCAGCAGAGAGTGTCTGGGAAATTTCCGGAATGTCAATTTGACTGAGACCTGGTGGCTTTTCTAGCTGGTCTGTTATGGTTAGCTTTGGATACTTTCACGTGGGAATAAGGGTGGGTTCGCAACAAGCATACCTTCTATACCCCATGCCGGAGGGGAATCTAGCTCTTGCAGGATCTGGTCCATGACTTGTATATCTCGCTGAAAGCTGGGGAATGCTCGAATAAGCTCCACCCCCATTCCAGCCCACTGAGCTCCCTGTCCACTGAAAGCGAATATAAGTGAAGGGAATAGCGATGTGTTGTCAAGATGGCGTGATTCGGCTTCCTCGCCCAGAATCTCCCCATCATTGTTGATAATAGTGAACGACCGATGAGACAGGTGATCCCGACGAACCCCAAGTGTATATGCGACGTCGGCCAGAGCCTGCGGTCTAAGAGCTAAGTAAGATTTAATTGCATCCATTCGGGCATCCAAGGTTGTCTTGCTATGAGCGGAGCAGATCAGGAGTCGAGGAGCCAGTCTTCGCCTTGGCTCCTCTTTGGACTCCATAGATATGATGCTTGATGCAGATTCAAGGATGACCTTCAATAGGAGGTTAGCAGGGTACTTGCTGCATGTCTGTGCCGTCTACTCTCGAGTCTGCTTGTGACTTACATGGACGTTAGATCCGCCTATACCGAAGCAGTTGACGCTGACTCGTTCCTTCCGGTTCTCTGGCCACCGGGTGGGCTCGACAGGAACTTTGAGTCGCCCTTCCTGGAAGGGGACTATAGGATACGTTAGTGCTCCAGATCTGATACAACAGAAACCTGCTGGCTCTCACTGGAAGGGTTAGGTTGTCGAAAATGCATATTTGGCGGAATTATCTGATGCTCCAGAGCCAGAACGGCCTTAATAATACCAGTAAGGCCAGAGGCACCCTCGCCATGGCCAAAGTTTGTTTTCACCTAGACCACGTTAGTAGAATTCCCAATATTGTTTCAGAGCAAGGCTTTATACTAACCGATCCGATATGAACCCCGTGAGGGTGGAAAGTCCGAGCAATCGCCGTAGCCTCGACCATGTCTCCTCGTTTGGTGCCGGTACCATGGCACTCCACAAAAGCCGTTTCTGCGATGTTGTCAATCTGCGCTCGCTCGTAGGCCCTTCTAATAAGCCGCTCTTGACTGTCAATGTCTGGTGCGAGAATCTTTGATGTTCTGCCGTCATGGTTGGCCGATGTGGCGCGGATAACGGCGCGGATAGGATCGCCGTCTGCTATTGCCTTGTCCAAGGGCTTAATGTAAACAGCATTTACAGCTTCGCCGCGCGCATAACCATTCGCGCTTGCGTCAAATGTCCTACAGACCCCATCAGGCGAGAGGACCATGTTCTCGGACATTGTCACGCTCATGGAAGGGGTGAGAAGCATATTGGTTCCGGCCACGATGGCGGATGAACAGCTGCCCGCTTGAAGTGCCTGGCAGGCTTCATGGAGAGCAGATAAGGAGGAAGAGCATGCCGTCGCTATGGTGACGCTACACTTCATTTAGCGAGGTACTGCGCCGAGAGGCTTTTCTTCAACGGGGGTCGCTGGACGCGATTTACCTTGGTCCCTTTAGGTCGAACTCAAATGATACACGATTTGAGAGCGCAAACCCTCCGTTGGCGAAGGCATGGGTACGAGGTATCAACTGGGTCTCCTTTGCAGTCAACTCGTGCCAGTCCTCCCCAAAGACACCGACGTAGCATCCAATGTCCCTGCCACGCCACCCAGTCTGTCCCGCATTTTCCATACACTCCCAGACAACTTCCTGCAACAACCTCTGCTGAGGATCGAGCTCGCTCGTATTGAATCCCGGAACCAGTTGAAAGAATTTCGTGTCGGCGGTTCCCAAGTTTTCATCCTCCAAGAAATACCCCCGTCTCGTTCTCACGGACTGAGGCTTATCCGGGTCGTAGAATGCGTCGATATTATACCGAGATTTGGGGACTTCGGACGAGCAATCCTTCTGGTCGATGAGAACCTCCCAGAAATCATCCGCAGTGCGTACCCCGCCGGGCAGGCGCATCCCCATTCCGACAATCGCAATCGGTGGGGGACCCCCTGCCGCGACGAAGGTGGCTCCGGCAGTGGAAGATGTCATGGCATGGGCGTACTTATTCTGAGGATACGTCAACTCGGAGTACTTTTGTTTCAGGTCCTATTTACTCTTCGCTTTCGATATTCGAATGTCGAGTTTGACCCTCACGATCAGTATCTGTAACGATAACTCTGTGCGCAGCAATCACAGCAGTCCCTGAGAAATTCTCGTCCGCAGTGTAATGTGACAAACAAGACCTGAGAATTTAAGAAATTGATCATGGGAACTGATCACAGGAATGCTCTTATGTCATTGACCCTGCCATGATTCTTTTCATAACCTGGGGTTGAGTGCCATCAAATTCTGGGAGCTGATCGTCTGCTGCTCTCTTGACAGATCCTCATAGGTCTCCTTGCATGGAGCATGAGGAATGCTGAACCTGGCTCCTCCTTCGGCTAGGGGCCTCCCTTACTGCTACATATCTACACTCCATGCTATTGTACATTCCTTCTAGCTAGGTGTAGACTGATAATATGTGAACAAGGAGAGGAGGTAGCTCTTGTAGCTAATGACGGCATCACATGAATATAACCTCGTAGTAGCAGTAAAGCTATCTAAGCTAAATTTATTCAGGCTAAAGCTAATTTAGTACTAGAAGACAAAGAAATTCTATACTTATAGGGCTTCTAAGATAATATCTACCTACATAGGAGCTATTAATTTTTTAGGTTGAATTAGTTAATTAGCTTACAATGTTACAGCAAGGGCGTAGAAAATAGCCTTAGGAGGTATAAAGTTAGATAGTATACGTGACATTATAAGAGAGGTATTTATCCTTGGATACCTCTCTTTTCTAGGGGGTGCGGAGGCTGCGCGAGCCGCATCTATGATTACATATACTTGGTAGAAAGAAGGAGGTGGTGGGTCAAAAAGACATGATATTAGATGACTGAAATTTATAATACCATGTCTTCTGGCGCACTTATCAACCCTGATTCTGACGACATATGCTGAAGGACCAGTGAAGTAAACATTGCAACGGAACAGGTTTAGGTGAGCTGACATCCTGGTTTGAAAAATATGTAGATCTTCACACTGTGGAATGCTCAGTTTGCTGGAAGTCACCGAAATCCATATGCCCTCCAAGAACAAGGTCATTATAAAGAGTTCTTCTTCGCAGTGGTAAATTCAACCCAAAGAAGGTCACAACCTACACTCCCTAGAAGTCTCTTTTGGATGGGAACCATTTTACTTTCGAAATGTTGCTGAAGACTCTTGTCTGCTACCTTGCTGTCGGCGCCTCCTGCGCGTTGGCAGCCACCAACACGGCGGAGGCCATCTCTGACATGGACAACCTCGCCAGGGCAATCCGAGACGCAAGGGACTCCCTCTATAACTACCAAGGAGGCCTTTCTGGTGCCCTTGACTCCGCAAGCGCCGTCAGCAACGCAAAGCTCGCCGCCAGAACCGCTCGAGAGAGCCTCGCTGGCAGCAACGGTCTTACTCCTGACGAAGCGACCAAGTACTACGAGGCTTACACCAAAATGTCCCCTGTTCTACTTGATGCATTGACGGTTGCCAAGGACAAGGTACGTTAGATGCCGTGCTTAGTAAACAATCTTCTGACTCTAAGTGATTACAGGCGCCTCTTTACAAGGAGGCTGGATTGGGTCCACAAGCTCGGGAGACCGTGCAGGATTTGCACAATGAGAAGAAAAGTTTTCAGGAGCAGGCAAATAAACAGATTCCTGAGGAGACGATGCGCAAGGCTGCTGCGTCCAATGAGCAGATCAGCAAGGCCTTTGATGAGGCGGAAGCTGCATTCCTGTGAGAGATTTCCTTGCCTTCATCTTGGTGATATTTTTAGCAGGCAGGGATGATGAGCAGTAATAGCAGTAATCAGAGGATTGTACTGTGGGGCTCGGCTGAAGATATGGATGCTTACCGCGGTCACTACAGCTAACCTTAAGTTAGCTAACCTAATTTTAATCCAAGTTGGCTGCTTTTACCATGCAAAGCGAGACCTGTGAATTCCCTCTTGTGGTTAGTTTTGCCGTTTTGGGTGGACATCCACGAGAGCGCCAGAGTGGACGGCTGTGATGATGGAGAAGGAGGCGGCGTAAATCCTGGCGACGGCCTTTGGGAAGACGGGGGCGTTGGGTGGGATGGTGAAGTCGTAACCGGGCATGGTAAAGGGGGCGAGAGGACCCTTTAGCTGGTGGACGGATTTGAGGGTTAAATCGATGAAGGCTTGTCGCGTTTTTCGGATTGGCCGACATAAGCCGCTCGCGGGGCAGCTGGCTGCAGCCGCAACGACGACCTGGCACTCGCCAAGAACGCCACGACCTATATTCTCCTGAACAACGGCATTCCGACGGGTCAGTTTACGGTCTCCCAATTCGATCCGCTTGCTACAAGAAAGCTAACAATCCCGCGGTCCACCAAGGTCAAGAGCGCACTTCAAGGGCAACAGCACCCCCTTCAACCGCGAGCCTCTCTGGACTTCCCAATACAACAAGACAGCCCCCCTCTACGTCCTCACCTCGACGTTGAACAAGGTCCGCGACAACGCCATCAAGCTGTCCACGAGCTACGTAACACCATGTCGGACACCCTCTGGGCCGATGTCAACCATCTCTGCCTCAGGAAGGGGCCGGGCCCGCCGGCAGCCAGATAGTCTTCTGCATCAACAACAAGAGCAGCAAGGGCAATAGCTACACCGTCAGCGTCGGCGGGTTCCTGGCCGTGAGAAGGTCGTCTGGGCTGCAATACGAACACGGCCGATTCCTTTGGCAACGTGACCATGTACATGGGCTAGGACGAGCCGAAGGTGTACGTTCCGGCGGCGGTGCTCCTGGCATAAGACAGTGAAGCCCAGTAGGCGGAACTAAGTCTCGATTGAGGCAGTCTCGTCAGCTGTTTGATGGGACCTACGTCGCTCGAGGAAGTCCATAATTCCTGAGTATATACTTATTAGTAATACCTGTTTAATCATTCATCTTTTTAACCCTCATGGCCCCTACCCAGCACTATCAAGTATATTTCATGCACACCATACTCTACACTATGCTATATAGCATTACCTATCTCAACTGCTACTCCCTTTTATATAAAGATAGACTAGATTCCTATTAGAACAGTCCTGTGCCTTACACATCATTATATCCCTAAGTAGAGTTGCTTTCGGTCTGAGTTCGGGTGAGTTCAAAACCTGTTGGCACCGAACTGCTGCGATTTCAAGTTTAAATTTTAGAACTCGGAACCCACCCTGACCCCTTCTGATTTGGTTTAAGTTTAACCGCAAAACTCGAAGCTTGGCACAGTTAAACTATTTCTAGCCAAGCCATGTTACTTGCTAACTAACCATGATTAGATTTAGTTGGGTTTAGATAAACCGCTATTTAAAACCAACATTTTATGACTGTAAGGTATTATAATATCTCCTCATATACTGATTATTTCTATTTAAGATGTTATTTATATAAGACTCTATATGCAGAGGTTTTATCCTGACTTAATAAGTAAAAGATTTAAGCTATGTTAGGCAAGTTTATAGTTTACAGCTCAAATATAAAAAGATACATGAATGTGTATATAAACATTACAATTACTTACACACAATAGTGACTCTTAATAAATTATATCAGCTCTCTCATATCTAAATAAGATGATCTAAATACACTAAATCTAACCTTAGTTAGATTAGGAAATGACTACATATCTATACACCTATAATAGTTTAATGTAACTGAGAATAATGCGACTGAGGGGTATGCGACCAAGTAGTATGCGACTGAGTAACTAGTATGCGACTAACCTGTTTTTTAATGTGTAATACTTCTGTATTATCTTTAATTGGATTGGGTAGTTTCACCGAATCTGATAAAACCGCAAAAACCATAACCGACGGTTGTAACCGAACTCGAATCAGTTTCACCCTACAGAAACCGAAACCGGTGCGATTCCCTAGGCTAGGAACCGAACCCTCCCCGCTGCGAGTTCGATGAGGGTCGGATTCGATTTTAGCGGTTCGGTTATGCCACTCTACCTTGCGATGAATGGTTATCTCAAGATTTATAAGCCGCCCATTCATCACACGTTGCTAGCATGATATATAGCCAGGGGATCCAGGAGCAGGCTAGCACTATGGCCCACTAGCAAGAGATATTCCAGTTATCCAGCATAGATTAGCACTAGTTTTCAGGGTTTAGGGTCCTCGCCCCTCTATCCATATTAGGCAAGCGCAAACAGTCACCATGGGAGGATAAAGCCAAGGTTAGTCGTATAGAGTGGTGACGGAATCATAGTTCCCAACCGAATCTCTATCTAGTTTCGCATTTGCCGTCTATTCGGAACCTGTGAGCTTGCCATGGGTGGGGAGCCAGGAGTGCCCCGTCCACAGCTGGGGTGAGCAGATCGTCCCGGTTCCGTCGTGGCGAGGTCCATAATTGTCGGGTCTGGGTGGCTGGCAGCTTTGCGTCACTTCTCCGGAGATGGCCGCCTTCTTAGACGTCTTCCTAGGCATTCCCACCCCTTAAGGACCTTCTTCTGGATGGCCGCTCTTTCTTGTGAGAAAGGGAGGCTAAATGAGTGCATTTTGGCTGGGCAAACAGCGATTTTAGCTGTCCAGTGTACTTCAGCGTGGGACAGAAATTCCAACCCTGACTATTCAATGTGCATGTAGCCCGTTACTGGCGAAGACTTTAAGCTTAACACATATACCCTTTAAAAACATAACAGCGACCGTATGAAGATTAGTCGCGTGACCCTAGACCAATATCTCCTAGAACAAGTAAAGGATAGGCATCCCTCTGTTTACCGAAACTACTCCAATTTCTCTGAGCACTCTTCTTCCTGCTACAGTATGGACTCAACCGAAAGCCGTGGTGACGTTCCCGAGCCCATCATAAGTTCCTTTAATAATTGTGTTGGAATGATCATCATTCACAGTCGAGAATTTTCCCTGAGTATGGGTAAGGAAGCCAAGGGTTTTCTGTCTGCGCACGATATTCTTCCTGAAACATGAGATGGATAGTGGGCTTATTGAGTATTGCGACTATATTTCTGGAACTTGAGGATTACATCAATAAAGGGTTCGACTGGTCATGTAACAGTGGATAGGGCTCGGAATTAATAGTAAGCTCTTACTTCAGCTTTCTAGACCTATTTGCCAATCGCCTAAGCGAATCACAAAACATGAGTGAGTTATGACATGCAATACAGGCCCCACGGTGAGATACGCTGATCGTCCCAAGATTATTGTTGATATGTTCTATTCTCTACCAGCCTGACATCCCACGTGATAGAATGCACTTCATATCCTTGCTTGTTCCACCGCACGAAAAGCAGGTCTCTAGGGTCCTACCAGTTCTCTAACAAATATTAGCCATTCTTACTCAAAACTCCAGGTTGAAAATACGGTGTGAGGCCAATCCCAAACTTCCCACAGCCAGCGTCCCCATAGCCAGCCCGAGCCTCTCGACTAAACTATGGGGCACCAGTGCTGTCTTGTAGATAGGCAACCGCATAATGGGGAACGCAAACCATGGGACAGTAAAATATAAACCGAATAAGACCCAACAATACCCAATCAACCTGCAAGAAGACTCTTTCCTCACAGCATGACATAACAGCCCGTTTCCTCCATGGGCATACCGCCTCACACGATACCGTACCCCGTCTTCAAGCATGATAATAAATGGATTAAGAGTGAAGATGAGAAAGAATGCTGTATGACCGGGAGTGTTGCTCCATATGGCACTGATATAATGAAACCCTGCGGAGAGAGTGAACACGAGGATTAAGTCAGTGTAGCGCTTTGCGACACTGTCCGCAGTAAACCCGAGTATGTTCATAGATATCCCTCGGCTGATACTGCTCAGCGGCCATCGCAGAAATTGATGCCAGAATTGTCTGATAAAATAAATATCAGTCAAATGTCTGGAACATAAGTTCGAACTGTCCGTAATAAACTTTATTTACGACAGAAATAACTCACCCCCAGAAATTTCGAAGTGTGTATGCATTCGATATACTGCCAAATAGCGGCGGCCAATCCTCCGGAGAGGTCAACTTGAGAACAACCGATACGACGGAGAAGCATCGGTACGTAAAATCTAATAGTGTTCTTAAAGCTAACATAAGGACAATGACAATTGCAAGGCGTGCGGCTGCTTGTATAGCGTTTGGTCTATAATAGCCGAGGAACTCTGTCCCTGGACTATGTGTGAAAGATTGGAATTGGTGAAAACGAGCGAAGTAGCCAAAGTAGAGGAGATCAAGAGCGCAATACTGCCACATTAAGATAGCAGTCTGACGGACCAGAAATCTGATCCTACTAACGCCGCCACCTGCTGCCAAAGAGACCCACGCCGGAAATGCCGGGATATTTTTTACTTGCCATTCAGTTCCAACTCCTCGGGTACTTGAGGCAAGCCTGAGAGCGAGGCGAAACCGGGTGAAAATGAGCGCGTGTTTTCCAGCGGTGTACTTAGCACTGGAAGGTTCGCCGAGGCCGACAAAGCATAAGAGATTAATCAGATGGACGGTTCTGATTGTGGAGAAGAACGTGTGCGGCATGCGTAAGAGTGGGTTACTGTACAAGCTCGGCAAGCTGGTTATTTCGATGTATAAGAGGCGGAACAAGCACAGCATCCCGAAGATTTTATAAAGCGAATATCTTTCTCTGACGCCGGCAAGCAAGATTGTAGTAAGTCCATACTGTGCTATTATGCAATATAACGGTAAAAACATTCGGATGGACATTGGTAATGACGGTTTGGTGCTTTGGAACTTCAAGTGGTCAGACTTCTGCGCAGAGGAGCAGTACAGAGGAGCAGTATATTCCGCTCTTATACTATAGTTGAAGATTTTTCAACAGATCATTGATAAAACTAGTTTACATTCTCCATACTCAAGCGTTCATTGGCGGAACTGTACAAGCATGCCCTCGCTCGCCCACCGTTTGGCATTCCCCGGAATATTAACAAAATAAGGCCATAAACTCCGAACTAAAAATGACGCCCTACATTCTGACTGCCACCTGGCACATGTCTGGGAGAAATGCCCCTCTACACGTCATAACATTACCCCTTGCAATGATCTGCTGTCGATTTTCACCTGAATACTCTACTGCACTGTCTCGCAGCTAGACGTGCTCTGAGCATTACCGGCTTCCAAGGACCCTTCTTACTTCAGCCTCCTCGATAGAAAGCTTAAGAATGTCGAATAGCTGGCTGTTAATACCGAGACTTCGTGGACAGCGGCATTTTTATTAGGGAGAAAGCCGTGCTGTATCAAGAAAGCCCGTGTTAACCAAAGACGATAGCCAATTTGCCGCCACTCTTTTTCACCTATGGAAAATCGAGTATGTCCATTATTAGAGCAGTACTCGTTCATTGCTGGTTGTAAACGCTTAGAGCATCTGACCATCAGAAACGTTGAATTCCATCGAGTGTGGACATCCTGGATTAGTAGTAGCTTATATTCCGTCCCGTTGAAGGCTATAAATTGTATCTCGACACACAGGGCTTGCATCAATAAAGACAGCGAATCTGCGCATCTAGATCAGAGCCAAGAATCGCCTTCAATATAATCTTCGACTCCCTCGCCTCGCTAAACACTAATCACATACATCCATTGTCCAGGACTCTATCGACACCTGACTTATAGTACAATAACAACGCAGACGACCATGGTCATGTGGATAGGTGATGTAAACAATCTCAACATAATGCTTTCCGTATGCATATAGTGATTATTGCCGATGAAACGGGAAAAAAGAATGTGAGGCCAGACAAAGGGGGTAGAACCCGGAACAACTCAAGCAGTCTCACGCGTAGACGCATAGACATCCGACCCCAGAGGAATGGCACTTTTCCAAACCTCTGGCCTTGAGATACGCATTCACCTTGCGGCACATGCTCCTGTGATAGGCGCCGAGCGCTGGTCCAGCTCACTCAGCAGCGCAGGCATCATGTTCCCTTCCAAGCAATCCGCGACAGTTTTTATTGTTTTTATTGCTTTGTGATCCAGCCATAGATAGCCTGTCCTCCCGCTGCAGCACAATTCCCTTCGATCTTCTTCGGAATGCCTTCGGAGATCCTGTCCGCACGACTGGAGAACTTGACCGACCCAACCCATTCATGCTGGTCTTGACAACCTGGGTGACTATTCGGCTTGCCCCGCATTCCGAACTGTGGCCTTGTGAGCATGAATTTTTGCTTGCAGACGTGCTCGTTGGCGGCCCGGAAAGTGGTATCAAGTTGCTGGAAATGGTATCTGAGATGGAGGTGCGGCTTGCTGGAAGAGCGCAGAGAATGGGCGTGGCCAGTGCAAATGTTTTAGCCCGTAAACTGATGCTGGATCTGCGGAGTTGAAGGCGAGTCCTCTAGCTATCAATATTCGCTATTGTCGACATATGTACCTTCCCAAAGCTATCTTGATTAACTGACGCGTTATTCATGTCTTGCTAATGTCAAGTAACTACTTGATTCCTCTCGGGGAATTTAACTCACCCCTTGCATTTTATGGATCTGCACGGACGTTTGAATGTGGCATTTCAGGTTTTTACTTCAATAAAAGGAGGATCTTCATGATGTAGCTTCATGAGCAGGCTTCCTAAATTCCGCTGCAAACCAGATAGGGAAATTATGCCTCAATGGGAGGACATTCCGTGGCTGACAGTGTTCTAACGTTTATTCATGTGGTGTTTTCGTCATTGGTATTCGCCAGCAGGAGCATCTATTGGTATGGCGCGACCTCATATTCCGCATTCGATCACTGGTATGCTGTATCCCATGTTAAGGAACTACTTCATTCCTTTCGGAGAATTCTAGCTTGCCCTTACATAATATGAGTGGACTGCTTCGGTACTGCCATTCTGCCATGTATATAACCACGGAACAACTGACTGTCCAAACGTTCTCCTTCAACCATCCTACACTTCCCATTTCAAATAAGCTTTCCATTCTTTTCTGAGACACAATGCTATTCTCCAACCTGAACCGAGTGGCCTTAATCATCGCCCTGGCGACGTCCGCTCTGGGCTCAGTAAACTCTGAGCAGGCCGTCTCCGACATAAACGCCCTTCAGGAGAGCGTTGTCAAGGCTCGTGAGAGCCTTGAGGGGTGGAATGGCGGCCTCATGGGTGCCATCCCCATCGCCAGCAGAATTCAAAGCGTGCAGAGTGCCGTTGCCAACGCACGGAGGAGCATCGATGAATCTAACGCCTTTGATGGCAAGGATGCAGATGCCGTCGTGGCGGCTTATGACCAACTGCATCCAGAAATCCTAAGCACTCTGAATATAGCAGAGCAGAAAGTGAGTTCTTCCTTCCCACATGATAGTTGGGTGTTTTGCTAACCTGGGATCCAGGCGCCGGGCTTCAAGGATGCAGGTGTGGGCTTCGTGGCGAGGGCTATGTTCAATGACCTCAAAACTGAGAAGGATAAATTTCAGACCTCCATGCAGCAGAAGGTGCCTGCTGAGAGCTACCAAATGGCCGCGCCCAGTATTGCTGAGCTTGATACTGCCTTTGAAAAGACCAACAAGGCGCTCACTGCTTAAGCAACTGAGCCACAATGCCTGTGGAGAACAGTGAATCTGGTTAGGGGATAGGTGCTGTGTTATGTATCTGTAGCTCCTCTTGCTATATAATTTGACGATTACTTTTCGCTTGCCACACCACTTTCTGCCAACCCGACAGGAATAATGATTCCCGTAGATTACCAACTACTTCATAGTGCTGTATCCAACTTGGGAAGACGAAGAAATATCTCGGATCCGCGCAGGAATACGTCGTGCGACGGCTGGAGAATGGGCTTAGGGAGGGATTTATAGGCTAGTATATATCTAGCTATGACTAGTTATTAGACTATCTTGAATAGCTTACTACTTAATATAAGAAGATCTATTAGCTAAAGAAATATAAGACTAGCTACTAAGTAATATAACTAAGGGATAATAACTATTATTTCTAATAAGGCTGAGTTGATGGTCTATTTCAAAGAAAGTAATATAATAGTAATTTAATAGGCTTAGAATAAAGTCCTAACTGTCCTAATAAACTACTAAATAAAATACTAAAGCCTCCCTTAGGAGATAATCTAAGGCTATATCTTAGAGATATTATTAGAGAAGCAGTCCCTCTTAAAGTCTAATTAATCATTTAAGAATTAGCTTAAGTTAACCTTAAGGTTGCATAACCGAACCGCTAAAATCGAATCCAACCATCACCGAACTTGCAGCAGTTCGGGTTCGGTTCCTAGCCTAGGGAACCGCACTGGTTGCGGTTTCCCTACCCTAAAACTCGAAACCATTTGGTTAATCCGTTGGTTACGGTTTTTGAGGTCTTATCCGCCTAGGTTAACCAACTCTCAGTTTTGAGGGAATGATCATTTCTGTCGTGAGTTGATATGAAAGTAGTGGATATATATATTATGCATTAACCTTTGATAATCATATAACATCTCAATACCGAAAGGAGCAGGATGGAGCTGGATTTACTTACACTGGCGCCTATGTCAGCCGAGTGCGAGAGGTTATTTCCGTGCCAGACAGATAGTGACGAGGCTTATAGAGTCGACTAGATGCTTCAACCATCCGCTCATACCAGACGTTATGCAGCTGGCTACAGGTGGGGTTAATTGAGCCGTTGGATCAAATTACTTACAGAGCCATCAAGGGAGTAATGGCGGCGGTCCGTAAAGGGTTTTATGATACTTTGCTGGGAAAGTGGAATCCTTGCCACATTGTGGTTTCACATCCATCATAGATACATATCCATCCATACCAGCGGCATGATCTTAGTAGCCATCCGCATCCATTCCACATCCTCCTTATGTGTTGTGGAGTGTGGTGCCTTTTGGTAGATATCGTAACTACCAATGGCCACAAATTCAACTATACAAATGGGACAGAACAGATACAGAAAGCATCATCACACTAGCTCTTGTAAACAAATTACCTTAACAATTAAATGCAACGTTTTTACCCTTCCATTATATGCTAAGTCTATCCGACTATTTTCTAAACGTTGGTCACAATACTATAGAAAGCTGATTTCGTATAGGCACTTTCACCCTGCCACAACCTAGATTTAGCGGACCTATATTCGGAACGAATTACCTGGTACATATTCATCCAGCTTCACATTCGCCAAGCTTCATAATCTTTGCAGCATTCCGCTACATAGGAGATTCTTTCTTTTGTGCCACCACCCACATAAACTCGGCATCAAAGTCTGGATCATCCTCTTCCAACTTCCCATCGCCTGCTTGCAATACTTCCACGTGCAATACATCGAATCCGATTTCTGTTAGCATTGGTCGATTCTCATCCACGCCATAGCTGCTCCAGAACATTCCATATCCTTGGAATTCGCCATGGATTTCTTCTTCATCGATAGTCGCAAGATTGAAAACGAAGACGCCTCTGGGCTTCAACCAACCATGGATCTTGGTGAGCATGGCCTTGAGCTTCGACCGTGGGAGGTGGAACAGCGTATAGAAGCTGATTACGCCATGGAAGCTCCCAGGCTCGAAAGTGAGAGTAGTCATGTTACCCGCAACCAGCTGGGCCCCCGGACAAAGGGCCTTGGCCATCTCGATCTGCTTGGTTGAGATGTCATTTGCGACCACCTGAGCGCCTTGGTCGAGCAGCATTTTCACAATAGGAATTCCGGGACCACAGCCAAGCTCTAGAATGGAGGGTGAAGGCGGCAACTTGTCTAGGAGCATCTTGGTGTATCTTTGTCGCGGCGACTTCTGGCTCTCGACCCACTGCAGGTACCATTCTGTAATATTGTCGTAGGCGTACTCGACAATACCTTCAGGTGTGTCAGACATCTTTCCAGAGGAGCAGGAGCAGAGATTGGCAGGAAGGAGAATGGGTATATCGCGGTAGAAGACACGGCGGTGAAGATGTGCGGAGATTGTCAACTGGAGCCTGTAGCTGAATTATACAAGTATATAGCGGCAGATAAAAAAGAAGCTAATATTCTGTAGCGAGTGTAGGGTGATCCTACTGGGCTATTTATACTGGTTAATTAATGAACTTGCCCATCTTACGACACCGCCTTCACTAGATGAGCTTGTCTAATCCTACTTCGAGTAAGCTCTTCGCTCTACTAGGTCCGGGATACTTCCTGTGGACACCCCTTTGGGTACTACTTGGTAGAACTCCTGGTTTGGTAATATTTACCACATTTATAGGAGTAAGACCAGCCTCAGCATGTATGCTTAACCTTTAGGGCAAAGTTTAATATAGCGCAAACTATAAGAGTCGCTAGGGCAGATGTCAGATCATCAGACGAGCTAAGATAGCTATATATCTAGGTATTACGCTTGACCCTGCGCTTCGATAAGAGATCGGATTAAATAAAAAGCAATTTCGTCCCTAAAGACCTTACCTACGCTGGCCGGAAGTATATCGGGTGCGGGCCTGATGCAGCTACACCTGATCTATTTGTCAGTAATGATCCTAGCACTCCTCTATGGATGCTGAGCATGCTACGTGCACAGGGCCGAGGGAATAAAAATCAGTTACATATGGATCCACGTGACGCGACACGGATCCTAGCATAATATCACGTATTGCACATCTCACACCCGATGTGTTATATATCAGGGAGAGCGTGCGCGTGCGGTGGTGGGCGGGTAGGGACCATCAAGAACAGACCAATTAGCGGGTGAGAAAATCCACTAATCTGTTGGAGTATAGGTAACATTTTACTACATACTCCGGACGGGAGGAATCAACCCTAGCGCCGGAGACTTTCCGCATCATCCAGCAAAGCCCCACAGTAGCTTGGAGCTCTCATTATCCCGAATATTCGGCTACATTTCTTTACCTCATGGACAAACTGTCGTCCAGAGATTTGTAACGAGCAGAAGTAAACGTCGCTGGCATTGGAAATAGCCAGATCAAACCACGCGGGTAACCATTATATAAAGACTACCACGATGGTGAATCTGCTATTCAGTAACATTTCATTATCATACCGCGCAAGCAAAACTACATCATTTCAAATCCACAGATAATCCCTGATATCTCCTTGTCACCATCTTCCGGAATGACTTCTCCAATTCTGCGATCACCGATTAATTCGGACCTCGCCAATGTGACACCCCCCTTGCTGGACGTTAGCACTCCCGAAAAAATGAAATCCTACCGCCAATCACTCGAACCAGTCTTCACCGTGGAGAATACCATCCGAGGGAAAGAGGATGTCATCTCCTACAAAGAACTCGACATACCAGGCCCCGCAGGACCGATGCGAGCCACCATCTTCCGCCCCAAGCACCAAACCCGCCCCGTCGAAGAAACCCCCGGCATCCTACACATTCACGGCGGGGGCCTCGCAACAGGAAACCGCTTCCTGGGCTTCACCATGCTCGACTGGATAGAGTCACTCGGCGCCGTCTGCCTGACGGCCGAGTACCGTCTCGCTCCGGAACATCACCAGCCAGCCCCGCTAGAAGACAGCTACGCCGCGCTGCAGTGGATGAGCGACCACGCCGCTGAGCTGGGCTTCAACCCGCGCAAGCTGGTTGTCTGCGGTGGCTCGGCGGGGGGCAATCTCGCGGCGGGAGTCACCTTACTCGCGCGCGACCGCTCGGGCCCGCAAATCCGCGGCCAGGTGTTGATGTATCCGTGGGTTGATGATGGGATGGAGTACGTGTCCATGCGGCAGTATGCTGATATTGCGCCTCTGAGGGAGGTGGACGTCGCCGTGATCGCTAATTATGCGTTTGGCGAGGGGCGCGAGTATGCGGATATGTATACTGCGCCGATGCGCGCGAAGAATTTCGCGGGCTTGCCGCCGACTTTTATTGATGTTGGTGAGGCGGATGTGTTTCGGGATCAGGATATCGCGTATGCGTCGGCTTTGTGGAAGGATGGTGTCTCGACTGAGTTGCATGTGTGGCCGGGTAGTTGGCATGGGTTTGATGTCTTTGTGCCTGATGCTCCCATTAGTGGGAGGGCGAGGGCTGCTCGGTTGGAATGGCTTCAAAATTTGTTAAATAGCCCTGATGGCATCTAGATCAGAGAAGGTGATGCTTGTTGTGATGTCTCGAGATGGCAATATAGAACTCTGTTGTCTTCCGCAATTCACAAATGCTAAGACTAATGCAATCAGTGAGGTTGGTAGTGGTTGGATTCTCTGGTAGCTGGCATGGGTAGTTTGTGGGCTGTATAGTCTCACAGCTGTACCACGAAAACTCTAGCGCGTTGTCCCACATACGCTTGGGGGGCATAGACATGGAGTTTGATCTCGCGGGTGCGCAACTATGGGACTGGTTCAACAAAAACCAGTCGATCATGAAGATGCTAGAAGATACATAGTGCAGAACAGGGCGGTGGTTTGAAGGCGTTAATGCAATATACATAAACATGTCCTCCCCGCGAATCAGTGCAGGACTCACTAGGAGACCATGCGAGCCGAGTAGAGGTGGCCCTGAACAGCCCGGAGCAAAAGATGGTTCTGGTGTGTTCGAAGATTGCGCGGGGCGCCTGGTAGCTGCAGGTCATTTATCTCTTATTTTTGTTGCTATGATGTTACAATCGTCTACGGCGTACGGCATGCTAATGAGGTTGATGCTTGACATATCTAGACAGTATGATCACTGTCCTTGTGTGTGTATTGATTAACATAATTCATTCTCATTTGGTATCACGACCAGTGGCCATCACTAAAATACAACACCATATCAAATACATGAATCGTCATCAATAAGTGTCATGCGTAAGATAAACTAGATCTGGTCAGATTGAAATCAATGACTGGCCTGTGCAAACATCCACGTACCACTTCAGACATAAGGGATCTCATGCAGACTTAGATCTGCTGCTTGTGAGCATCGGCCTTGGCGTCGTGCTTGGACTCTTGGGCCTTGTCCTTGACGGCATCCTTGGCAGCGGAGGCACTTGACATTATTAGAACGACTGCAAGACCCTGCAGGGAAGAGAGCTTACCGAGTGCCAATGGGAGCATCGGAATCCTTGGCGACGTCCTTGTTGGCTTCCTTGGAGGTGCCGTGCAGGGCCTGCTTGGCGGTCTCGCTGACGTAGTTGGCACCTTGCTTGAGGGACTCCATTGTGATTGAGTTTGTGTATTGAGTTGTAGATTGGTTTGAATAGTATAGATCGGATTGAATGTTTCTGTGTTGATGAAGACAGGACAGAACAGAGAAAGTGAGGTCTTTATATTGGTGGTACGGCATGATGATGTCATCTATACAGGAGGTGACCGTGGTGATGTCATCGACTGGAGCCAAGTATTTCCTGCGCAACATCCAGGGATTAAACTCGCAAAACAAGATTGGCTGCTGAACTTTATTGAGTCATTGCTGCAATTCTAGTAAATAAGGTTAAGTCATACCCCGATTCCCGCGTATTGCGCTATGCATAGTGCTGCACTACAGAGGCAGGCCAAGTAAACCTCCCTCGTAAACCACCACGCTTCACCCCCCAAAAGCACAAACTTTGGCTCCAGGCCCTTGCCGGCCTTCTCGGCCTGCGCTAAGTTTCCAGACCTCGGCGGAAGGATTACGTTCCCCGGGTAGATCTTCCCCAGCAGCGCTAAAGCAACGACTGGGTCGTGCATGGGAATCACATGTAGCCCGCCATCAGCCGTAACGAGGCAATCTTCGTCTCCGGTCTCCAGGATGGATGCCGCGTCTTGGATTACGGTGGACGTAGCTGATGTCGGGGATTCGGAGTCGGCGTTGCTGGACGTGCTTGCCTGATAGGCGTAGCGATGACCGCGCGCGACCTGCCCCAGATCGACGGAGACGCATTTGCCGTTGTCAAGCTGGCGTTGCAATTCCAGCTGTCGAACCATATCGGACGACGAGGTGACTGCGATGCTGGTGCTTTGGACGCCGATCGCGGGTGCGTCGCCGTTCGCCGCGGCGTATGCCGGGGTTTTCTCGGTGCCGGCGGGGATCTCCGCATGAGGCGCAAGATAGTAGTCCTGGATCCGGAAGTCGAAGATGACGTCAGGTACGTCATGGACCAGCTAGTCCACAGGCCAGGAAATCATACTGGAAGCCGTAGCCGGGGCTGGCCTTGTGTCTAGAAGTAGAGCGAAGGCCAGGCGCGGCTATTGACGGGCATGATCATGTCCTTGTCGTTCTTGAACGGAAGCAGGGCGTCCCGCAACAGGACCATCTAATGTATATACTTGTTGAACACCTGCATCAAATGCCCTAGGGCTCGCGAGGGGTGTCACTGTCGTGCGCGTTGGCGTCAGGCCGGACGGCGACACTCTGGCCGATGAGGATATGGCCTGTCCCTCCGGCACCGAGACCAGGCTCGGACGCATCGTGCCATTCCTTGCATAGTTATACCGCCGACAGGAAGAGAAGAAGAACCAAAATGTCGTGAAGCTGACAAACGCGTATCGAGTGCTCTTTTCGAATTGCATGCCTCGGTCGTCTTTGCTCGCGGAGTCCTCACGCCGTCGGAGTTTGTGGTCGTTTGACGACCACCGACTCCGGCCGCCGCAACGCAAGCCTTTAAAACAGATTCCGCTGTCCAGACATCATGAGATGCACATTTCCAAGCAGAGGAGGCTTTTGGGGGGGGGGGGAACCGATGGGTGCGTGGGGTGGAATAGCGGTGATGAAACTATATTACAGTCGTCGTGAGCTCGTCCGAAATCATCAGGATTCCCTGTCAAGAAGGTACAACAAGGAATCTCCCACATGGTCAACCACGAACCCTTTGAGCTGCCCGTCATCGACTTCACAGCCTTCAGAGAAGGAAGCATCGGGCCACTGCACACCCGTTGCCACCGACAAGCACTGGCGACTTTTCACAGCTCTCCACTACACCGGCTTCGTGTACATGAAGCAACCTGGGTAAACCACCTTCTCCGGACACTTGAGTCTAGATATGGCGGTGAGCCACTGCATCAAGCGGGCGTGAAGCAGATGCATGGTGCGGCTATAGTCTGCGGAGCACAAGAAGAGCCGAGCTGCTGCCAATGTGTCTTTCGAGACCATACAACGGTCGATTCAATCGATGAGACATGTCGGAATTCGCTATTGGAGCAGTGATGGAGGTATGGTAACAATTTACACCACCCATTTAATTGGCATAGACTAAGCAAACGCAGTGAAATACGCCCATGACCCGTTAAGCGTTACATAAATCATCAGCGTTAAACAAATCGCAGTACACGTCAGTTTGGCCCCGTCTGATTCACGCAAATTGCTCCAATGCACAGAGAATGATAAACGACCGAAGCTCATTGGAGTCGGCAAGCCCCGCATTCATCATGCATTTCGCCCGGAGATCGTCCTTGGTGAACTTGGAGAAAAGCACCTTGAGCGAGGGTTGCTGCTGGTGGTTCGGGACACCAGTAGCGCCAAAGGTTGAAAAGGCGTCGGTGGTGCCTGGAGAGCCAGGGGATGCGGGCGTGGCCTTGCGCCACTCGTCTTCAGTGCGGGCGCTCCACAGTGCTTGATCACAGGGCAGGGGCATCTTCATGATGAGCTCGTCGTTGAGGGGCTCATAGTAGGGCGATTGGCGCCCGGAGTTGAGATCATGGTTGCTGAAGAAGTTGATGATATTAGCGAGGAAGATGGTGCGGCGGGCAGTTTCGCTAACAGCCCATTTAACCCAGGAGTCTGTGCCGTTAGGTCCGGCGTTGGCCGGGGGCAGGAGGGCGGTATCATGCGACTCAAGGTAGGACCGCGAGAAACACTGGGTCATTTTGGACAGGAAGGGCGACTTTAGCCCTTTGGTGAGGCGCTTGAGTTTCCAACTGGATTCGTCGACGGGTGCGATGCCCATGTCAAGGATCTCATAGAGGAGCATTGCGTGCAGAGCGTCCCACTGTTCCATGCAGTGGTAGGTGGGCTAGCCTGTCAGCACGCTAGGAGATGATCAACAAAAGGCCTTACTTACATACGACTCAATCAAGCTTTGTCGTTGCGCGTCTATGGCTCGCTTGACGTAGCTGGCTGCGTCTCTGGCGCCCAAGGCACCTCCGCAGCAGATGGCCATGGATGTGTGCGGCAGAATGGTCATGTCTGCCACATGCTCGTTGAACAGGGTGCGGTGCACAAACGGACAGTAAAAATCGTCCTGAAGCAAGAGTTTTGGATACTGTGCAAGCAGATTGATGTGATTGGGCGGCCGCACGACCACATCAGGACTGCCGCGCAGACTGGTCAGGGTGGACACATCGGGAATCCCTGGCCCCGGCAGCGCCATGGAGGTCTCCCTGACCAGGGTACTGTACGACTGTGGCGATGGAGCTGAGGCCAGTGGAAATGTGAAGCTCGGATGGCTGGTCGGGAATGCTGGCGTCAGGACCGGGGTGACTTCGTGGACTACGCTTGCTGATGAGGGCAACGGCGGGAGATCGAGGGTATCGAGGTTCCAGATGAAGTTCTGAATGTTCCACGAATCCAGGCTATCGGCACTGGGCCCATCCAGCGTGCTGTGAGGGCTCCATAGCGGCGGAAAGTCGGCCGCGTTCACGCGGGTTTCGTCGGGTCTGGGATGATCGTTGGCCGAGAGGGATGAGGAAGAGTCGGAAGAGTCAGAGGGAATGGTGGCTGCCGCGTTCACCGTGGACACGTATTCGCAGTGGACACCCCGCTTGGCACATCGCGAACAAGTTGGTTGCGTGCAGCAGCATTTGGTCTTGGCCACCACACAGGCATTGCACGCTTTCCGGCGTACCTTGGGTTTGATCGACCGCAGACACCGGCGTTGATGGCGCAAGAGGAGGTCACCTGGGATCCATTGGTCTACACATCAGCTCCCAATGCAAGAAGATGGAGACTCAACAAACGGTGGAGACAAACGTCGTCGGTAGGTTTTGAAACAGGTGTTGCACTTGTGAGCCTCGTCGGATGGCTCGGACGCCGGCATGGTCAAAGGGCGTCATCAGGGAGACAGAGACAGGAAATAACAAATAAGCCGGGGAGTGCCAGGTATAAGTGAATTTACCTGGCAGAGTGAGTAAGCCAGAGGATCCGACATATCTTGTTTTCTGGATCTTCTCGATCCTTCTACGGTTTTAACCCTGGTTCGAAGAAAGACAAGGCATTGGTAAAAAGGACAGACAATGGAATGGTGAGATTTAAGAAGGATTCGAAGCCATCCCGTGTGTGGTAAGTGCGGGGTCTAGCATTATTAATTAACGACAATCAATGTAACCTTGGCTATCTTCTTGGCTGATATTGGAGCTATTAATCTTACGTGTGAGCCAAAAGTCCTGTCTGTCTCATTCGGCTGACTTTAGTGCTTACCTGTTTTCTCACGCGGCTGTCCTTCATCCTTTTGCAACATAGAAGAAAATGGCTAGATTAGGGTTCGATTTAAACACTGCCCTGGGAATGGTTCTGTTCATTTGAGGAACTAAAGACTAGATTTGCGGGCCGTGAATCATGATCCACTAGGCTTTGGGAATAGCGTATCTATTCGTCTCCACAACTAGAAGTCCAACCACACAATATACTCACCGGGTTGTGGGCCACAACATGAATGGCCTCCCCAGGGATCTTACGAGGCGGACAGCGGAAGGACCGGGGAGGGGCTCGGCTGCAGATGCCGTCCTCGGGTCTTTTCATCGTCGCGCCGTAGCCAACTTCTTCTGCTTTTTGTCTGCTCCACGTGATCTCTCCTGGGTCGCTGACTGGGAAATGGCTGTTCTGAGCAATTGTTAAAATAATCCCTGACCGTGTATGTGTTAACTTAAGTCATAATAACCATGCTTGTGTTGGAACTTTTGAATAACTCCCAACAGACCAGCGACCGAATTGACTCCTTTGCCTCGCTCCATGACAATCTTCAGTATGCAGGTGCAGGTGCGGTGCTTCGGATGGGCCTGTTGGCTAGGGCCTGCAGGAGCAGATCGAAAGTACATGGAGAATCTTCATATTGCCGCTAGAGTGGAGGTGATCGGTCATGAAACCATGACTCAGCGTGGGTGACGGATGGTCGTTGCTTTATGGATTATGGTCGCCCTCAGAGTGCCCGACTACGGGCATGACACCCCTAAAAGACAGGCCCGGAGTTGGTGGTCGCGCCCCCGGAGTTCGGTGGTTGATCCCCGGCAGACGGCCGCTGCGGGCTCCCAAGTCAGGTGTTGGACATGGTGTCGGACATGGTGGGTGCATACTACCGATTTTCCATTGAAAAGGAAATATATTTATGCTCCTTCTTACTCCTTTATTCTTTGGATCATTAATTGGCAATGTCAATTGCCAACAGAATGGACAAACAAACCAAGACTACTAAACGAGGGGTGCACAGCATTCACTGGTCGGACGAGATGCAAATCCATACTGATGTAAGCCACCTACAGGGATCGCGTATGTTTTCTAGATTCGGCATAAGCAGGTGTTGCGTGTTGTTCTGGCCCACTACAAGAGAATTCTCCGCATTTATGCGAGAATACTTTATAAAGAACACCTCCTCCCTGTGTAAACGTCCTCGTTACCAGACAGAATCTGCTTCATCATGAAAATCTCGCTTGCTCTCTCTGCTCTTGCCTTACTTGCTTGCCCTGCCGCAGCGGTCGACTTTGATCCAACAGAAGACTGTGGCGCGCCCTTTAACGCCTGGTGGACCCAGTGCACCAGATCTGCCTCCAACTGCTGCTACTACGCAGCCGAAAAGGCCAATGCAACCTGTCCGATGACTCGTGCAAGACATTATGTCTTGCTAGGACGGTGCAGGTCGCTCTTCGAGGGCAGCGCACGTCCCTACAACAAAACCGACTGCGTCACCGCCACTCTCTCCGGCATAGCCTTGACTATGGGGGCTCGTGACCTTCCCTTTCGTGTTGATTGTACTATTGATGACATCAAGGACATGCCCTAGGGATTCCGGCGTTTCCGTGTAAGAGGCTTCGTGGAGAACCGTCCAGGAAAAGTCAAGAGGGGTATATTGGCAATGTTCGTGTACAATTTGAGCGCTCTAAGGGAAGAAAGGTCCCGACAGCGAATCGGCAGAATCTCCCTGTGGAGAGGCTCGCCTGGCCAACGAAAACTGTCTGTCAATACCTAAGGTTTATACGGGGTCTGACCCAGCCTCTTCTGCACCCCAGATCATAGTATATCAGTATACTCATACTCTGATAAGAGAATATGAATATGGATAGGTTACTGAACCTAGGATCTACTTAGAGTAGAGCTGAGCAGCTGAGACGGACTTAGTAGTAGATTAACATTCCACACGGCTACTGGTAACCGGCATCATCGGTTCGGCGACATCCCATACCTCTCGCAGGAGGGGCAACTGCTGTGATAGCGCTCAATCTAGAAGTGAAGATGCTCTTCATCTCTCAACTATCTAGGCAGCGGTTCAACGGGAATAACAGACATGAGGAAAGGAGGAAGAAGATAGAACTAACAGTGACTTTCATAGTCAACTGTTGAGTCACCTGAGTAGTCTAACATGATATGACTATGGCCATCATCACAACGGCGCTTAGTCAGTCAGAGCGGAATTGATGAAGGATCATCCTGTCTCCAGCAGAGAAGGGGAAGAGAAGAGGAAATAAAGAGATGGAAGGGATGAAGGGAAGCGACAAGAAAAAGAGATTGGGTCGGCGTCTGGTCAGACATTCCCTGAGGCGGCTGCATTTAGCCGATATTGAGATATAATCTGTCTCATCATTAGAATTATATCAATCTCAATGAAATATAGAATGGAATGGAAATAGAATAGACATAGATCATAATAATAAATCAAGAATAAATAAATTAGTATATCAATAATAATATCCAAAATGACTAGAAAACAGAAACAAACCACCCGACGTCTTCACGCTCGTTTCTGTGGTGTTACAGAACACCTGCAGGCAGCATGGACTGGTTGGACAGGGCTTACGAGAGAAGCGGCGCAGCTTGATGTAAAGCGGCTAGGTCACGTGACCAACGGTCCCAAATGCCTAAGACAAGGTGACGGTCCCTGATGGACCGCGATTACAAGAAGGCACCATGGACCTTGATATAACAGTCCATGATGGGACCTTATGACAGCCTTAAGGTATGGACCAAAAGGAAGGACTATATAAGGATAGTTATTACTACTATATCTAGAGTTCTTGTTTAGTTCTTCATGTTTAATATAAGTTATTTACTTAAGTATAAGATTACTAGTCTGATTTATCAGTTACTCTTCTACTATTAAGTATATATACTTAATAGGCCTTGCTTCTATCTTTGCTGTTATTATTCTTGTGTATCTTTAGATTATCCTTGATCCTGTTCAGATCATTGTACCATTGTGCATACCTATACCCAATTAGTATATTGTTAGGCTACCTGGTCGGTAGGCCTTAGGCAAGTATTGAATATAGTCCAGGGACTATAGCATCTCCAAAGCAGTGGCTAGCAGGAACAGCAGAGACGGATCCCAGGGTAGTGACATGTGGCTCCACTTTCGCCTGGAAGAGGAGTGAGGGTCTGGAAGTCAACTGCAAGTGTAGGAAGACAAGTGGGAAGTAATGGGTTAAGTCAGTGAATGTCAAATCGTGAACGGAGAATGACTCCCATGTTCTAGTCATGCTAATATACTTTGGGTCCTAATATAGACACACCCCCCTACATTAATGGCACACCCCTCTAGCTTAAAGACACACCCTGCTACCTTAACGGCACACCCCCTTAACTATTATTGGTTAGATTGCATGCTCAAATTGTATAAGCGCCAGGGCTAGGGCTGAGTTGTAGGGCAGAATAGTAGGGTATCATAATGTAATTACTTCATGTTTTGATATACTAGAGCCTTAAGAGGTAGTAGATTACATCAAAATGGCTGCTCCTAGTCCATCTTTAGTGGACTACAGCGGCTCTAATAATGATACTATTGAGAATATTAAGAATTAAAGCACTAATTCCATGGTGCCTCCTCCAACTAATTAGTTCTTCAATAGCTTTGATGAGGCTTTGGATTTTATTAATGCTCATATAAAAAAGTATGGATATGCATGCACAATGAAGAACTCTACAAGCAAGAATAGGGCTAAGGTAAGGGCCTATCTTCATTATAATCAAGGAGGGGTTTATAAGCCTCATGTCAGAGAAGCTAATCAAGTCTGTGACCAATCTACACATTAAATTGACTGTCCTTTCAGCGCCGTTATCAAGTATTCAAAATCGTTTAATCATTGGACTATTGACGTGTCTAATCCAGAGCATAATCATGATCCAGCACCTGTCTCTAGCCATCCAAGTCTGCGCCATCTTGAGGTGCAAGAGAAGGCTGCTGTCATTGAGAACCAGTTCAATAATGGTGCAAATACATATCAAGTTCTGCTCTCTCTATACACAAACGCGCGGGAAGAGGGTGAAGATAGCAATATTCAACCTCAAGATATATATAATCTGCGTCAGCAGCTGCAGAAGAAGTTCCTGGGAGGTCTTACACTAGTTCAGCACCTGATTACAACCCTCCCTGAGGAGCAGTGGATATTTAACTAGTAGACAGATAAAGATGGCGTGCTTCTCTCTCTCTTTTACATCTATAAGAGTAGTCTAGAGCTCTTGAAGCATAATCCATATATTATTTCTATGGATTATACATACAAAACAAATAGCTTCAAGATGCTGCTGCTAGACATTGTAGGAAGCACTGCAACAAATATAACATTCTATGTTGGATTTGCCTTCCTGTCTAGTGAGAAATAGGAGTCATATAAGTTTACCCTGGAATGCCTGCATAAGGTATATCAAGATCTTCATCTCTTAGACCCCCTGACAATCTTAACAGATAAAGATAAGGCCTTACTGAACATGATTAAAGTCATCTTCCCGCAGACATCTAGCATGATCTGTATCTGGCATTATAATAAAGATTTTCTTGCATACAGCCGCTTAACACTTCGGAAAGAGGTGCTGGAGATAATAATACCAGAAGAT